ATTGAAATGGTTGTCAACAATTCAGACCTTGTTGCATATTTGGTGGCAGCAATTATACTCTGGGAACTGGCATGGTGCCTCTTTCGACGGCTGTATAAATGGCTGTGGATAAAGAAAGCGGTGGTTATTCCTGCGAGTGCCACTTTGTATACAACAGTGGGTGGGAACTGTATGCACGCAAGCAGTGACTGTGATGTTCTGCGATATTCACAACTCAGGGCTAAAACGCTTTGTAAGCATTGCCTCAAGGATGGCTGGGTGGTGAATGCTGAGTTCCTTGGTGAGGAACGGGCCGCTGGAACGTGAATTTTCCAAGTGCGAGGTGAAGAAATCCTCAATGGTAAAGGATTCAGCCAATGAGCTGAAGGTTCGTCCTGGATGACGTTAAACCATAATGTGCATTTCAAGCAGCTGGCTGCTGCCTAAATGGCGGTTTTTGGCCAAAGATCTGCACCTCCAATGTGTCCTAGGAAATCCTAGGACAGGGGGAGTGCGGAGCTGCAATTGGTATTGTAGAAAGGAGTTGGTATTGGAAGTTGAAGGGTCAATGAACCCGGTAATCTTTGGCTCAAGCCATGACCAAAGCGGTCAAAGGTTTCGTAAAAAGTGTGCCCTTGGTTTGGGGTCTTGCTGTTCGGTTGTTGGTTGTTCCAGGGGTAATAAGGGCTTCTGTTGGGGTTGACTGTCTTGTTCCCTGTCCTCCTTCGGTTGCCCCCCGTATAGGGTTTAGGGTTTAGGGTTTAGGGTTTAGGGTTTCGGGTTTAGGGTTTAGGGTTTAGGGTTTAGGGTTTAGGGTTTAGGGTTTAGGGTTTAGGGTTTAGGGTTTAGGGCTTTGGTAACAGCCCGGTGTGCATGAACAGACCCACATCAAAAGAAGTTCCTCGATGGGTCGTTTAATGATTCCTTTCATGCAGTAACTTGTGGATTTGTATCAATTGATCACGCATGAACACCCATACTATATTATATATAAGTGAAAGGACAAAGGACGAGTATTCTCCAGACCCGGCGTTAATAGGGTCTCAAGGGCGGATTCATGGGTCCACTGACCTGGCAATCCAGTATGAAAAGGGGTATTTCATGAAGTTCCCGCCCGGTCTAGTTTCCTGGCTCATGATTCCAAGGTGTTACGTGGTTAAAGCTGGAGATCCTGCTCTTGGGGTCCCGAGGGTGGGAACAGAGGTTGGGTCTCAAGGTGTGATGGGTGCGGCGGTTGGACTGGTCTCTAGCCAGCTAGTAACCCAAGGAATTAGGACTCGGGGCCACATATCCGCCACTAGCAAAGATAGAGGCTGCGTTGGCCTGGTCCCTTGGTGCAATAAGTGAGCGTATTTCATTGAGTTCTAAGGTCGCATGAACTCCATTAGAACAAGTGCAGCAGTAAGTGCGCTCTTCTACATGTTTTATCGCGCACACACTATAAACCCCCAACTCCCTCAACCTTCAACCCCAAGCCATTGCACGAACCACCCCCCCCCAAAAAAAAAAATATAAATAAATAAATAAATAGAATATATATATATATATATGTATATATACATATATATATACATATATATATATGTATATACATGTATATGTAAATAAATAAGTAGTATTATTATTATATATGTCTATAATATATGTCTATATATGTGTGTGTAATAACAAGAAGAACAACAACAACTTCTGAGTGAGGAACTTTGCTGTTGAGGGCTGAGGGCTTAGGGTTTTGTGTGGGAGATTTGGGGTTTTCTGTGGAGACTTGAGGTTGTGGTCGGGCGTAAAGCCATCACCAGAGAGTGGCACAAACAGAAGCCCGATCATTCGGTCACGTACCCCCAACCCCCAAGCCCCCAACCTGCTCGCTTCAACTGCTGCAAATGCGACAGAACGAACATTCTTGATGCTAGTCACTACGTTGACCTTCACATCAAAGTTTCTCGTGTTGCATGTCCCGAGTGGAGTTGCCACGATGTCAAGTGTCGATTTTTGACATTCTCGGTTCAACTTCTCTGCAAATCTGATAAGCTCCTTCGAAAGTGCCACAACCCCTCGCAGCTGTCTCAGCGAGGGACGACCGCATGGCTGAGGGTTAGAGTGTTATAGAAGAGTACCCTAAACCCTAAGCCCCTAAACACCTAAAATCCTAAACCCCTAGACCCTACATGCTCAAACGCTAAACCCCTAAACCCTCAACCCTTACAATGCTTACTGACTTCATCTCCAAACTGGAGAGATGACAGTAACCTCACATGGGGGTTTACAATATTAGGGGTACTGTACCTTATTGTGGTCCTTAGTTTAAGGGGATCCTAGTATTGGGATATTAGGGGTCCCTTGTGATCGTAAACCCCCACACGCTGATTGGCAACATCAGCTGTTTCACTTCTATGGAACTCCAAGTCCACGTCAGCCCGAAACCCCTGACCCTAAACCCTAAACCCTAAACCCTAAACCCTAAACCCTAAACCCTAAACCCTGAACCCTGAACCCTAAACCCTAAACCCTAAACCCTAAACCCAAATCCTACTACATTGCCTACTCCCTAAACCCTAAACCCTAAACCCTAAGCCCTCCTGCGCCAGCACAGCTTCCATAGTGGCCATGGTGTTGCTTTGGAGGTCATTGACTTCGGGAAATTCCGCCTCTTGACCTCGCTGAGGGGCTGCTTGAGGCAGGGCGTCGGGTTGAGGGTTTTGGGTTTGGGCTTAGGGTTTAAGGGCCCTAAACCCTAAACCCTAAACCCTAAACCCTAAACCCTAAACCCTAAACCCTAAACCCTAAACCTCTTGAAGCTCTGCTTCGACCTGGGTCTTTCGCCCTCGAGAAGGTCATTGGCCATTGGAATGCTACAAGGGCCTCTGGGTTTATTGTGTAGGGTTTAGGGTTTAGGGTTTAGGGTTTCGGGTTTAGGGTTTAGGGTTTAGGGTTTAGGGTTTAGGGTTTAGGGTTTAGGGTTTAGGGTTTAGGGTTTAGGGTTTGCGGTTTAGGGTTTAGGGTTTAGGGTTTAAGGCTCTGAGCAGCTTGAACTCGACCAAGATCGACATACATCGACGATTCATCAAGGAAATCACCCAAGGACCAACATCAACCAGAACGCCTCATACCTGAGCGTCCGCGTTCAACCCAGTGCCGTATACACTTCAATCGCGGGCTTGGGGTTTAGGAGGATCCGCGGAGATTCTAGACCCTGAGCCCTGAAAGCCTGCACGTCCCAAAGACCAGATCCCTGGATCCTTACAAAGGACCCCCTTAACACGCTGTAACCCTGCAGCCCCAAATAAACCCTAAACCCTAAACCCTAAACCCTAAACCCTAAACCCTAAACCCTAAACCCTGCTCCCGAGGGGCTGTTTGCGATCTTCCAGCTTCGCTGGATAATCCTGCAGGGCGTCTCATATATATATATATATATATATATGCATATATATATATATATGTATGTGTATATATATATATATAATGTATACATATGAAGGAGAGGTTTAGAGTTTGGCGTGTAGGTTTGGGGTCTGGGGGTTTGGGTTTAGGGTTTAGGGTTTAGGGTTTAGGGTTTGGGGTTTGGGGTTTGGGGTTTGGGGTTTGGGGTTTGGGGTTTGGGGTTTGGGGTTTGGGGTTTGGGGTTTGGGGTTTGGGGTTTGGGGTTTAAGGTCTGGCAACCAAGAAACCAAAGAGCACTAAAACCACTGAGCCCGAAACCCGAAACCCAAATGGGCTCCCAAGTAAGGCCTGGGGGCTTCGTTGGGCTTCGTTGGGCACTTGGGACACGCTCCTCTGAGGTTTCGGGGGCTTCGGCTAAACCCTAAACCCTAAACCCTAAACCCTAAACCCTAAACCCTTCGGCCGAAGGTTTTAGGGGCTGGGGCTCCGGGCTCAGGGGTTTGGAGCTCAGGGCTCCCACCCACCACCCTCCCTGGCCTGATGCGGCCTGCAAACTCGTGGGTCACAAACATTATGGAACCCCCGATGTAGTTCAGCAGCGCCTTGCACAGGGATTGGCGGGTTGCTGCGAAGGAACATAGACTTTCAGCTGCCAGCATCAGAAAAAGCCCATATTTGCTTACTGTACACCCAGACGAAGACTACGACTATGGAATCCCAACCCTAAGCTACCAAAATGGGCTCCTCCACACCAAGCCAGATAAATTTCACTGCGCCAGATGGAACTGAATGCATGGCTCCTATGTATATGTATATGTATATGCATATGCATATGTATATGTATATGTATACGTACATGTATATGTGTATGTGTATGTATATGTGTATGTATATATATATATATATGTATTCTTAGAGATATATATATATATATATATTCATGGCTATGCATACACATGTCTTTTTTCGATGCTTCGGGCTTAGGGTTTGTGGTTTGGGGATGCTTTGGAACTCGGGTGTTGGGATTGTAGACTTGCCTTCCTCCACAGATTTAACAGGGTTTAGGGTTTAGGGTTTGGGGTTTAGGGTTTAGGGTTTAGGGTTTAGGGTTTAGGGTTTAGGGTTTAGGGTTTAGGGTTTAGGGTTTAGGGTTTAGGGTTTAGGGTTTAGGGTTTAGGGTTTAGCAGACCAGGTTGGAGTATGGACATCTTCAGCTCGATCCGAAGTGTGGGCCCCTGGCCCTTGCTGCTACCCTCAATCAACTCTCAGGAGTAGCCCTAAACCCTAAACCCTAAACCCTAAATCCTAAACCCTAAACCTCCAAAGAGCCTTAAATTCAGTGCCAGCTCTTTTCCAATCACTGCGCAAGCCACTTCTGGATTGGTACTGTGAGACGACTGGCTCCTGCATGCAAGACAGTGGGCGTTCAAAACACTCTGGTCCATCCTGCTGCGAGTACCCCACCCTCGAAATAGACTACTTGCTGCAATCCCCCAAGCCCAAAACCCTAAACCCTGAACCCTGAACCCTAAACCCTAAACCCTGAACCCTAGACCCTAAACCCAAAACCCTAAAACCCAACAAAACCTAAGCGTTCAGCCCCGCGCCCTAAGCTGAGCCCAAGCATCCCGTGGCTCTCAGGGCGGCGACATCATCTGGCTCATGAGCATGGCGCTGACCTTCAAGGGACTAAAGGAGGGTTTAGGGTTTAGGGTTTAGGGTTTAGGGCTTAGGGCTTAGGGCTTAGGGTTTAGGGTTTAGGGTTTAGGGTTTAGGGTTTAGGGTTTAGGGTTTAGGGACCTAAGGGGCGCTTTGGGGGTTCTTCAGGGGCTACTTAGGTATATCGACTATACAAGGCATACACAAGATATATAGGGACCATATAAGGTATATAGGGGCTATATAAGGTATACAGGGGCTATACCCTAAACCCTAAACCCTAAACCCGAAACCGGAAACCCTAAACCCTAAACCCTAAACCGATTAAGGGTCCCTTCTAGGGGTCCCTCCTTATACCCCATAAAGTCCTTGCTGTGCCCAGCACGCTCGGCAAGCTCGTAGGCCGTCACCCGCCTCAAGGTCTAGGGTTGAGGCACAGACACACACACACACACACACACACACACTTACACACTTTAGGGTTTAGGGTTTAGGGTTTAGGGTTTGGGGGTTTGGGGTTTAGGGTTTGGGGTCTAGGGTTTGGGGTTTGGGGTTGAGGGTTTAGGGTTTGGGGGTTTGGGGTTTAGGGTTTGGGGTCTAGGGTTTGGGGTTTGGGGTTGAGGGTTTAGGGTTTTGGGGTTTGGGGTTTAGGGTTTGGGGTCTAGGGTTTGGGGTTTGGGGTTTAGGGTTTAGGGTTTAGGGGTTTGGGGTTTAGGGTTTGGGGTTTAGGCTTTAGGGTTTAGGGTTTAGGCTTTAGGGTTTAGGGTTTAGGGTTTAGGGTTCAGCATCTCTGGTCCAAGAATTCACTAAGGGTGTTTGGCATTTCCCCACGTGTTTGGCATCACCCCTCCCTCCCAGAATCCCTTTTCATCCGAAATATATATAGTCTCTTTTTTACCTAACCTATTTGTTGATCACCAATCATTTTTTCCCCCAAGAGATACCAAAAGGCTGTAAAAACTACCAAAAGGCTTCAAAAAGCCTCCCAAAAAGGCGGAAACACAAGATTTGCCAGACCCGCAGTTAAAAATGCGATTTTTTAGTATTGAAATCGATGGTTTTGGGCGCCCTTCTATTTTACTCCCAAATCCGCCAATAAAAGCCCGAGAAGACCCCAAGAGCTGCCAAAAGGCTTCAAAAAGCCTCCCAAAAAGGCGGAAACACAGGATTTGCCAGACCCGCAGTTAAAAATGCGTTTTGAAATCGATGGTTTTGGGCGCCCCTCTATTTTACTCCCAAATCCGCCAATAAAAGCCCGAGAAGACCCCAAGAGCTGCCAAAAGGCTTCAAAAAGCCTCCCAAAAAGGCGGAAACACAGGATTTGCCAGACCCGCAGTTAAAAATGCGATTTTTTAGTATTGAAGTCGATGGTTTTGGGCGCCCCTCTATTTTACTCCCAAATCCGCCAATAAAAGCCCGAGAAGACCCCAAGAGCTGCCAAAAGGCTTCAAAAAGCCTCCCAAAAAGGCGGAAACACAGGATTTGCCAGACCCGCAGTTAAAAATGCGATTTTTTAGTATTGAAATCGATGGTTTTGGGCGCCCCTCTATTTTACTCCCAAATCCGCCAATAAAAGCCCGAGAAGACCCCAAGAGCTGCCAAAAGGCTTTAAAAGCCACCAAAAGGCTTCAAAAAGCCCCCCAAAAAGCCGGACACCCAGGATTTGCCAGACCCACAATTAAAAATGCGTTTTTGTAGTACTGAAATCGATGGTTTTGGACACCCCTCCATTTTTCCCCCCCAAAAGGCCGGGCTTCACCCGGAATACTAAATTATGAAGCCGGGCTTCCCCCGAATACTAAATTACGAAGCCGGGCTTCCCCCGAATATTAAATTACGAAGCCGGGCTTCCCCCGAATACTGAATTATGAAGCCGGGCTTCCCCCGAATACTAAATTACGAAGCCGGGCTTCCCCCGGAACACTAAATTACGAAGCCGGGCTTCCCCCGAATACTACATTACGAAGCCGGGACGCGCGTGACGAGCGTGACGCGCGTGACGCGCGTGACGCGCGTGACGCGCGCGACGCGCGTGACGCGCGTGACGTGCGTGACGCGCGCGACGCGCGTGATCCTAAATCCTAAATCCTAAACCCTAAATCCTAAATCCTAAATCCTAAATCCTAAACGACCAAATCGGGAGCACGACCCCATTAAGGTTTAAATATACATAGGTAGAGAGGGTTTAGGGTTTAGGGTTTAGGGCTTGGGGCTTGGGGCTTGGGGGTTGGGGCTTAGGGGTTAAGCCGTCATCCACCTCTGCCCGCCCTCATCGAACGTGTGGTGGACGTCCGCCTGCGACCACACACCCTAAGCCGCCAGTCACCAATATCCCCAGCCGACAAGCACACTGCGCAAGGTCTCTTTAGGGTTTCGGGCTGAGGGTTCAGGGTTTGAGTTTAGGGTTTAGTGATTAGGGTGAGGGCTTCGTCAGGGTTTAGGGTTTTGGGTTTTTTCGGTTCAGGGACCACTTCGTCGTTGTTAGTGTGGAACTGGGAACCTAAGCCAAAGCCTTTTTCTTTTTCAATGGGTGGTTTAGGGTTTAGGGTTTAGGGTTTAGGGTTTAGGGTTTAGGGTTTAGGGTTTAGGGTTTAGGGTTTAGGGTTTAGGGTTTAGGGGGTTCATCGATTAGCCCCACCTTCTGCTCAAGGAGTAAGGCCACGACGCTGGAGTGACCCTGCTCCTGGGCGTCGGACGGGCTGAAGGCCGAAGGGTCTGAGGTTCAGGGTTTAGGGGTTTCGGGTTTAGGGTTTAGGTTCAAGGGTTTAGGGTTTCGGGTTTAGGGTTTAGGGTTTAGGGTTTCGGGTTTCGGTTTTAGGGTTCAGGGTTTGGGGTTACCCGGAAACGCTTAACCCTAAACCGATGAAGTCGAACACAAAGACACAACTGTGTGTAGGGTTTAGGCTCAAGGTTTCTCGGAAACCAGAACGACACGCATCCTCAAAGCAGAACCTCTCTGCCCAAAACCCGAAAAAAAGTTGACCGGCTTTACCTGTGGAAAGACGCGTGATTGTTGCCTGGTCTAAGTAGGAATACCAACATGACAACATCACAAGCGGACAAGTTATCAAAGACAGTTCTACCCTGTGGAAAGACGCGTGATTGTGGCGGGAGCACAAGCTGGGCACCAAAGCTACGACGGCTCTGCACTTTGCCAGGAGCCCGCCACCCCACTCACTTGCCTTTGGGGATAGGCGGGCTTCGATCGAGCGCTCAACGAGACCCTGCTAGGGCAGGAACGCTCGCGAAAAAACGCTTCTGAGGCCCCCGTGCAGGCCACCTGAAAGGAGCCGTCGCAGTGATCAGTGTCGCAAGTCAACTGCTCCAAGCGACCCATGTCACATAAGTCTTAGGCCCCTAGGGCTTAAGTGAATCCCAAGTGCTCTCACCCAAGCGACCCTAGCGACCCAAGTGATCCAAGCACCGCATGTGGCACAACGCAGCGGGCGCACGCGGTTTGCACATGTTTGCACAATGTGCAGCGGCAGCAAGCAAACAGGCAAGCAAACAAGCAAGCAAACAAACTGACAAGCAAAACAAACACCCGCAACCACAAGCCCAAGTACAACCACAACCACGACCACGACGACGCCACACCTGCCACCACCGCCTACGCCACAACCACGACCACAAGAGACACGAAGACAAGCAATCCAGCAATCAAGCAATCAAGCAATCAAGCAATCAGGCAATCCAGCAATACCGGCGTCTTCTTCGTCCCCATCCTCATCCTCGCATCCTATCACCCACTCATATGTTGGGATGTTCCCCCTTATACTAACAGCTCCTGAATAGGGATTCTTAGTACTCCCTGTTAGAATGCCTATGAAGGACTGTTAGTATATGGGGGGATGTTCCCAAGTCATATCCCTCATGCCCATATCGCAATGGACGACAGCACCAGCCCCACGTCACAGTCACCATCATCACCCCGTCATCCAATCAAGCAAAACACAGGGCAAAAACAACACGGTGAGCCCCAAGCCCAAAACCCCAAGACCTAACCCTCAACCCTCCACCCACCCCGCCCCCCCCCCCCAAAAAAAAAACTAAACTAAACCCTAAACTCCCCCAACCCCAAACCCTCAAGCCCCCAAAACCCCAAGCAAACAAGCGACCCCAAGCCCTTAAACCCCCAAAACCCGAAACCCTAAACCCTAAACCCTAAACCCCCAAAACCCTAAACCCTAAACCCTAAACCTTAAAACCCTAAACCCCCAAAACCCCTAATCAGAGCCCAGGCTCAGCTGCTTCCTGCAAGGCGCTCCGCTCGTAGCGCCCATCGAAGGAAAAGCCCTGCACGTTGGCGCTGTACCTTAAGCCGGGTTTAGGGGTGGTCTTGGGGTCTAGGGTTTGGGGTTTAGGGTTTTGGGGTCTAGGGTTTAGGGTTTAGGGTTTAGGGTTTAGGGTTTAGGGTTCAGGGTTCAGGGTTTAGGGTTTAGCTTCAAAAGAACTCGGAAATGGAAGGAAAACATAAAAGTAGCTCAACAAAAACTGCTGTTTCCGCTCGTGTGAGCACTCGGTTCCAGGAGCTTTTGAGGGTTTAGTTCAGCTTTTCTCGGGCTTCGGGTTTTGCTGGGCTCCAAACCTCCTGGATCAGCAAAGAGAAGCCACATGCCAGGATATATATATATATAATATATAATATAATATAATATAATATAAATATATATATAATATACACACATACTGCGCCGGGCCAATAGTTCGACCCACCGACATCTATCCTGACACCTATGCCCCGCCGTCTTCCCCATAGACTCCTGACACAAGTGAGCCTGGGGGTCTCCTCCGGAATTCTATAGTACTATATTTTTAAAACGGGGTATTAATTTCTCCGCTAGCAGGCGTAGGGAAAACGCTACTTCTCGGCACTCCGCTACTGCGCGGGAGCCTTCACTGTCTGCGCGCCATCCAACATGTGCCGTGGGTCGAAACTTTCGGCCCGGGGGTGTATGCAATAAATGAAAATATCAATGCACGTATTTATGTACATTCGTATATACGGATATGTATATTTGTACGTGTATATGTATGTGTATATGTATATGTATACGAATATGGTGTATGTATATTTAAAAAAAGCAACCACATAGATACATGTGGACTTAAACTTACGTAGGCGTGCGCTTATATTTACTTCTTCGCCTTGTCATGCTCATGACTCCATCTACATGTACATGTGCGTGTGTCCTATTTTAAACTTTTACGTGTATGGACCTTGAGGATCTTCAACTTCTGAAGCTTAAGGTTTGAGGTTTTGGGTTCAGGGGGTTCGGGGCTAGGGCTCTAGGGTTGGGGGTGGAGGGTGTTTAGGATTTGGGCTTCGGGGCCTAGGACCCCAAAGTTCCGGGCTGAACGGATGTGTGAACTTTGGCTTCGGAACTGTTCGGGGAGGCATGCCTGGCGGAACCTATAGGGTCAGCCCTCAAGATTATGGTCCCTCTTGGGGTACCCTAACTATTCGGCGCCACCTGATAGTAGCAACCCCCATGTAGCAAACTCGATCTACCGTGCCACGATATTCGAAATCCTGAGCCCAGCAATCCCAAGTCCAAAGACTTACATCCTAAACCCCTCCAAATCCTACATTCTAAAAACTTAAGCGTTGAACCCTTAAACGTTGAATCGTAAACCCCTAAAGCCCTGAATCCTAAACCTTGAAGGCCGCCTCACGGCGTTCCGTCCTCTCGCCCCTCTTTTGGGTTTAGGGTTTAGGGCTGTAGGGCTTTAGGGCTGATAGTTTAGGTTCAGGGTTCAGGGTTCAGGGTTCAGGGTTCAGGGTTCAGGGTTCAGGGTTCAGGGTTCAGGGTTTAGGGTTCAGGGTTCAGGGTTCAGGGTTCAGGGTTTAGGGTTTAGGGTTTAGGGTTTAGGGTTTAGGGTTTAGGGTTTAGCGTTTAGGGTTTAGGGTCCACTTGAACCTATGCCGGGATGCTTGAGAAGCGTCGAGCAAACTTCGGCGTGGCCCTCGCCTGCCGCCACGGACAGGGGAGTCCAACCCTTGTCGCCACCGTCATCTGCATCCGCACCTAAGAGACAAGGGTTTAGGGTTTAGGGTTTGGGGTTTAGGGGTTTGGGGTTTAGGGTTTAGGGCTTAGGGTTTAGGATTTGGGGTTTGGGGTTTAGGGTTTAGGGTTGACAGGTGGTTAGAGGTTTTAAGGTTCAGGGTTTCAAACGAAGAGGCATGAGGTGTTCTGGACTTTTGTGGGTCGCTCTCAGCGCCCTACCGGTTCAGGCTTCAGGGCTTAGGGCTTTCATGGGATTTTTAGGGGTTTTGGGTTTTGGGTTTTGGGCTTTGGGTTTTGGGTTTTGGGTTGCCAACAACGATCCAGGCACCGTGCTTCAGCAAGGAGTCGCAAATCAGGGTGTGACCTTCACGCGCGGCAACTAAGAGAGGCGTAGAGCCGTTCTTGCTCAAAGCATCCACATTGGCCTTGCCGGTCAAGAGAACTTCGCAAACGTCCGGATTCCCCAGGTAGCAGGCCTCGTGCAAAGGCGTGTAGCCGTAGGAGCCCTTGGCATTGATGTTGCCACCCTTTTCGATGATCAACTTGAGGACGGTGGTACGGCCGCTATGCGTTGCCTTCTGCAGGAGGGTCGCGCCTTCGGGATCCCGAAGCTTGACGCTCATACCCTGGGAGAGGAGAATCCACACGCACTCTGCATCCCCTCGCTCGCAGAGCTCGTGCAAGTCGACGAAGACAAGGTTGAGGTCTTCAATGAGCGACTGCTGCAAGGTGTTCAACTTCTGGTCATCCAATCGCCACATGTAGAGCTTCGATGTCCTACGAAGCTTCGGCCACGCGGAGGGCAAGGAGCGGCAGACTTTTGCCAGGGCCTCATCCTGCTTGAGCACGATACTCAACTTCGTCATGGGCACCACCCGTTGAGCTTGTAGGTGGCGCCCTCAGGACTTTGAGCCAACTCAGCTGCAAGGGAGCCCGGCTGCCCAGGGGAACGAATGGCCCTAGACTTTTAGGGGGGTTTAGGGTGGAGGGTCTTCGAGGAATCACGTCACTACGCCTTTGAAGGCGCAAGACTACTTGCTCCACTTTCGAGCTTCAATCCCCATGTCCTCCCACCTCTCATAAACCATAAGCCTGAGAATGTTGAGACGTGCCGAAACCTAAAGCCATGAAGGCAACCACAAACCCCTAAACCCCAGTAAGCCCTCCCAAACCCCCATAAGCCTCCCTAAACCCCCCAAAGCCCCCAAACACCCCAAACCCCAAACCCCTTAAACCCTAATGCCGAAACCCTCCTAAACCCGAAACCCTAAACCCTAAACCTTCTACTCAGGGCTGGTTCCCAGCGGGCCTGAAACCCTTTTCGGCTTCTTGACTCCTGGGCGCTGCTCTCTTAACAGGACTCAGGGCTTGTGGGGTGTACAGCGTAGGGTTTAGGGTTTAGGGTTTGGGGTTGGGGGTTTGGGGTTTAGGGTTTGGTGAAATGTTTAGGGTTTAGGGTTTAGGGTTTAGGGTTTAGGGTTTAGGGTTTAGGGTTTAGGGTTTAGGGTTAAGGGTTTAGGGTTTAGGGTTTAGGGTTTAGAGATTAGGGTTTGGGGTTTGGGGTTTAGGGTTTAGGTTTAGTCACTCTATCTCTCTCGCTCTCTCTTCAAAGAGTCTTCTGCTTTGGGGTTATAGGTTCCAGGGCTTTTGGGTTTTAGGTTTTGGGGGTCTTCTTGTGCCCCAACAACCCCCTATGCGCCCCAAGGCTTCTTGGCACTGTGTACAGATCCCCCTTGCCCACAGAACTCGCAAGTCGTAAACTCCACCTCGTCAACCCTGACGATCAACCCTAAACCCTAAACTCCATCCTCAGACGCCCCTGAAGGGTTTAGGGCCTCAGCGTTCAGGATTTAAGGTTTAGGATTGAGGGTTTAGGGTGAAGGTTTAGGGTTTAGGGTTTAAGGTATACAATTTCGCGTTCAGGGCTTGACTTCGTGAAGTTTCTGTCAGAGTCGTTTCTGCAACATGATATTCATAATGATTGAGGCTTCCTCCCCCCCCCCCCCCCCCCCCCCCCCCCCCCCCCCCCCCCCCCCCCCCCCCGTTGTAGTCTGCCCAGGAGTTCAACTCCATAACTCGAGGCCCTGAACCCCTCCAAACCCCCAAGGCCTAAACACCCTGAACCCCAAAACCCCACAAGCCCTAAACCCTAAAGCCCTAACCCAAAAAAAACCTAAAGCCCTAAAACACCGAAACCCCTAAACCCGAAAAACCCAAAAAAAAACCTGACAACCCCCCTTGTGAGAGTTTCATCTCAACAGCCCATTAATGTGGGAGTATAAGGGAACCTTGGGTTTTCCTAAACCCTAAACCCTAAACCCTAAACCCTAAACCCTAAACCCTAAACCCTAAACCCTAAACCCCCCTTCCCTTAAGGACCCCAAAAAGCCCGGGCCTCTTTGCCAAAGTCCTGCTCTCCCAGTTCGCTGTCCATGGCGCTGAGGATGGCATCGCGGATGACGTCGATCTCAGAGGGGGGTTGAGGGTTTAGGGTTTAGGGTTTAGGGTTTCGGTTTTAGGGTTTAGAGCTCAGGGTTTAGGGGCGTAAGGGCCCAGGGGCTTAGGGCCTTAGGGGCTTAGGGCTTACGTTTTTGAAAGGACTTCCTACGCTTCGCGGTTTTACCGTATAGAGGACGCCCCAGCTCTGCTACTGTTGCGCCTCTGGGAACCCTGAGCCCTAAGCCCTAAGCCCTAAGCCCTAAACCCTAAACCCTAAACCCTGTAGCCAAGCGACTCGCGGGACTGTAACTTCAGCGTCCAAATGCTGGAACCCCAACGTCTCCACGTGCCTGTTTCCGGGTTGAGGGTTTAGGGTTTAGGGTTTAGGGTCTAGGGTCTAGGGTGTTGGCAGAGTCCGGGGTGCGGTTTCCATTCTAGTGTTCATGATTATAGGGCTCTTAAATATGGGGGGTTCAAGGGGCGTATAGGGTTTAGGGTTTAGGGTTTCGGGTTTCGGGTTTAGGGTTTAGGGTTTAGGGCTTCGGGCTTAGGGCTGAGGGCTTAGGGCTTAGGGCTTAGGGTTTCGGGTTTAGGGTTTAGGGTAACCCAAGGTTCCCTAATACTCCTCACTACTCTCTAGGGCTCCTAAGCTGCCCTGAGACTCCCTAGGTACCTGCGGCTTACGGTTTCGGGTTTCGGGTTTCGGGTTTAGGGTTTAGGGTGTAGGGTGTAGGGTGTGTAGGGTGTGTAGGGTGTGTAGGGTGTGTAGGGTTTTTAGGGTTTAGGGTTTAGGCTTTTAGGGTTTAGGGTTTAGGGTTTAGGGTTTAGGGTTTAGGGTTTAGGGTTTAGGGTTTAGGGTTTAGGGTTTAGGGTTTAGGGTCCTTAAGAACCCTACAATTCCAGTTTCAAGGTATGGGTTGAAAGTAAAGTAGGTAGAATGGCAAGCGAAGCGCCTGCAATATGTTTTTTTACTGGGGCTTTTTGGGGGAGGTTCATGGGATATTTTAATGGGAAATAAGTGAACGAAGTGAACACCACAAAGTCCTCTTAAATGAGCTCTAATTGTATTGGGCTTTCACGCGCTCCTTGTAAAGCCTAAAAATATGGTGGATTTCTACTTGCGGTAATACTAATATTATCGGTTACGGCGCCCCGCAATATAGTCTCTTAAAAGGGCCGTATTCACATTAAATTGCATTATGACAGCGACAAAAATGCACTCGCCTTCAATAGTACTTTGATGGGCTTCTCTTCTTTTTCCCCTTGTCTTTTTCCTTTCGCTCGATATTAAATGACTTCGGTTTCCTTGCAAGTCCATTTACTCTGGAACGAAGGAAAGGAACAAGGATAAGATTTTACGGGAAGGAGAGTTGATTAATAGCGTCCAGCGGCAGGTTATGCCTCATGGTCCAGTTGTGAAAACTCAAATTTGCCCGATTTCTTAGTTGTCTGGTCTTTACTCTTATTCTCGTGGTGCTTGTTCTACTGTTTGGTGCCTTTCCGGGGCTTTGCCGTGTTTCTTGGTGCCTTGTTAGTGATCGAAATTGTATAGTTTCCTGGGTGGGCTTCGGATGGGGGGGAGGGGGGGCGGAGGGGGGTTGACAGGGTTTTCACAGGGTATTGGGCGGTTCTTGTCTTTTTGCACGGGGTTCGTGTGCGGAGGTTTGGGCAGGTTTTCGGCTGTTTTTTTCCGAAAGTTGTGACCGGAGTTTTTGTTCTGTTGTTTTGGTTTGCCTTTTGCTGAACAGGCTCTTTGCTGCCTCTTTCGAGCTCTCGATAAGGGGTGTTTGTTGTGTGGGCCTTTGTGTGGGTTGAATCTTCCCCTTGAACTTTTGTGTACTGTCCATGTTGGCAAGCGCAAAGGTGCAAGAAAATTGAACACGTTACTGCCTTGGGGCTTGCAAAGCATGTGAAAGCCCACAGTAGCCACACAGGCACCCGGTGACGCACCCTTCACCGTAAAAGTTGTGGTTTTGGGTTCTGCGGAGGCTTTAGGGACCTGGGCAAACCCTAACCGAAAAGCCCTGAACCCCTACACTGGCCTCTTCAGTACCTCCGGCTTGTCGCATTCGGCCATCAAGTTTGTTACACTTATGATGAACCGCAGGCCAAACACAGACCTGCCAGGGAATTCGAGGCTTGGGGTCGAGGGTTTGGGCGCTAGGGAGGTGTAGGGTGTAAGGTTTAAGGCTATGGTTTAGGGTTTAAGGCTTAGGGCTCAAGGCTTAGGGCTATGTTTAGGCAGGCAAAATCGCTTCTTGGCGGAATCGGCTGAGGTTTTATAGGGCTGAGGGTTTAGGGCCTAGGCTACGGAAAGTAGAAGATGCCAATGCCGTGCACTGCCTGCTGTTGTTAAAACCAAGGCCTGCGAAGCCCCAAACTCTAAACCCCCCGAACTCTAAACCCTCAACCCTAAACCCTAAACCCGAAACCCTAAACCCGGGTTGAGGGTGTAGGGTTTAGGGTTTAGGGTAAAGGGTTCAGGGTTCAGAGTTTAAGATTTAGGGTTTAGGGTTTAGGGTTCAGGGTTTGGAGAGAGGATTCAGGGTTTGGGGCTGTAGGGGTTTAAGAGGGGCTTTGGTCTCGGGCCTGGCATAGGGGCCCCTTCGTGGTTCTTCGTAGGGGATTTGGGAATCTGGGCACCCTGAACCCTGAACCCTAAACCCTAAGCCCTAAACCCTAAACCCTAAACCCTAAACCCTAAACCCTAAACCCTAAACCCTGAACCCTAAACCCTGAACCCTAAACCCTAAACCCTAAACCCTGAACTCCCTAAATCGGAGCGGAGCTTGGAAATCTGGCTAACATAGGGGCCTGAAGAATGGGGGGGGGGGTTATGACTACTATTTGCTTAAGAATTTATTTAAAAACACAAAAAATATAATCCCTATATTACCCTGATAAGGGAGTTAATTTATTTATTGTTTTTTTGTGTTTTTGGAGGGAGGGGGGGTTCTTAAGCAATGGGTAGATTATAGTAGAAGTACAAAGGGGCCATACGGAGTATTCTTTGTAAGTATTCCGACCTGTATATTAACTCCTAGGGTGTTCAGGGTTTCGGGTTGGAGGTTCCAGGGCTGAGGCTTATGGATCCGGACGCCAACCCCAAGGCACACAACCTCGACTGCAAGGCCCGAACGCGCCAAGACGATTCGTAAAGCCAGCTCCGACAGCCCCAGAAAAACAGCACCATACCCAGCCCCAAACCTACTCTTAAGCCGAGAGAGCATCAAGTCCTGAAATCCCAAGACCCCATCCGAAACCCCGAAACCCTAACAAAACTCCCAAATCCTAAGCCTCCTGAGAACCCAAAGTAAACCCTCAAACCCTAACCCCTGAACCCTAAACCCCTGAACCCTAAACCCTCAACCCCTAAAACCCCCTTGCAAGGTGTCTTCGCAACCTGTCTCTAATCCAGCCTGGGGGTCTTGAATAGCGGCTGGAGGCTTGGCGCTTCCTTTCAGAAGGGGAGGGGGAGGGAAGGGGGGTAGTGCGGGGGAGGGGGGTGGGGGGGGGAGGGAGGGGGTTCGCGGTTTGGGTTTAAGGGGTAGGGGGGTTAAGGGGGGTGTTTTGGGGGTGTTCAGGGGGTTGCTTTCGCGGGGGCTTAGTGTTTCGGGATTAGGGTTGAGGGTTTAGGGTTTCGGGTTTAGCGTTTCGGGTTTAGGGATAGAGGTTTAGGGATTCGAGGAGTCATCCGCCGCCTCCATGATGGTGTCGTGGATGGCCTCACCGCACACCTCACGCGAGGGGAACTTGTCGAGGAAGGCCTGCACTCAGTGTTAGGGTTGAGGGTTTAGGGTCTTAGGATTTTGGGGTTTAGGGTTTAGGGTTTAGGGTTTAGGGTTTAGGGTTTAGGGTTTAGGGTTCAGATTTTAGGGTTTAGGGTTTAGGGCTTAGGGTCGATGATTTTTGGCAGCAGATGGAGCAAAGCACTCCGCACCATCAACCCTGAGCCCTTCACAAGTCGAGTACGCAGTATGGGCAGGCCAGGCTTCAGGATTTAGGGTCGGACTCGACCCGAAATCCAAAACCCCTGAACCCTAAGCCCCTAAACCCCTACACCCTCAACCTTCAGCCTGGCCCCAGATGTTCCCCCTTATACTGACAGTCCTTGTTCGGGATTCTCGTAACCGCCTCTTATAATCCCTACTCAGTATAAGAGGGAACATCCCAAAGTATGAAAGTTGCTTCAAGGCATAGACTGCCCCTCTGCCACCTCAATTGGTGCTCAGGGTCTAGGGTTAGGGTGTCGTGTCACTTCAACCCACAAACAAATGTTGTGAGATGTTCAAGAAAGGGGAGTGGCAGGGGGGGGGGTGCCCTGAAGCACAAGCAATGCACGACAACCGACGCGCAAAAACCCGCAACACTTAGAGTGGAGCCCCGTTACCTAAACTCTACACCCTGAGGCCCTTTCACATTCGAACCCCAAGCCCTAGAACCCCTAAACCCTACACCCTAAACCCTAAACCCTAAAACCTAAACTCCCTTGCCCCCAAACCTTAAACCCTAAACCCTAAACCCTAACCCCTGAACCCTAAACCCTAAACCCTAAACCCCAAACCCTACACCCTAAACCCTCAGCCTCATGTCCTCCAAAGGGTGGGGTGGGCCTAGCTCTTCATCTCTACGAGCCGGGCCAGCTACTCAGCCTTTTCCCCCCTCCCCCCCTCCCCCCTCGCAGAACACCAAACATCACTCATTCAGTGAGGGCTCCGGGCTTAAGCGGTTTGGGGTTTAGGGTTTCGGGTTTAGGGTGTAAGGTTTAGGGTTTAGGGTTCAGGGTTTAGGGTTCAGAGTTTAGGGTTCAGGGTTTAGGGCCAGTTTAGGGTTTAGGGTTTAAGTTTGCGGGCTTTGGGGTTTGGGGTTACAAGAACCCATAATAAACCGGGAAGGCGGGGGCGAAGTTCTGGATGGGCCTCTCAGCAAACCCCCTTCAACCTAAACCCTAAACCCTAAACCCTAAACCCTAAACCCTAAACCCTAAACCTCCAATCACGCCAGGTTTAGGGTTTTGGGGTACATTCATGTGTCGACGGTGCTTCGGATGGCTACTGAGTTTCGGGGCACAAAGCGGCCGATGTTCCCTTACCTCTGGCCTATGGGTCATGGCTTCAATTTGGGGAATGCCTGCCCTGACACCCCCTTACACCTACAAAAAACCCTTAAACCACCGTGAATTTGAGGCTTGAGTGGCATCTACTATAGGGTCGGAATAGTTACTAAAAGTAATTATTTGCTTGTGGTCCCTGTATATTTATCCTATAATAACCCCGCAAGACCCTGCCCTCAACCCTCAACCCTCAACCCTCAACCCTCAACCCTCAACCCTCAACCCTCAACCCTCAACCCTCAACCCTCAACCCTCAACCCTCAACCCTCACCCCTCACCCCTCCCCTCAACCCTCAACCCTCAACCCTCAACCCTCAACCCTCAACCCTCAACCCTCACCCCTCAACCCTCAACCCTCAACCCTCAACCCTCAACCCTCAACCCTCAACCCTCAACCCTCAACCCTCAACCCTCAACCCTCAACCCTCAACCCTCAACCCTCAACCCTCAACCCTCGGCCTGCCACGTGTCGCGCATCTCTGTTGCCAGCCCTTCAGGAATCTGAATCTCAGGGAACGCCTCCGTCTCCGGAGCCCCGAACCTTCGCAGAAACTCCTCGGCGGGCTCTCTGTTTGAAGGGGTTACGGTTTAGAGGCTTAGGGTTTAGGGCTTAGTTAGGGTTTAGGGTTTGTACAAGGCGCCTTTGGTTTAGGGTTTAGGGTTTGGGGTTCAAAGTTCGTCACTCCACTCCCCCCCCCAAGCGGGGAAGACGCCAAACGCTTTCAAAGCCCCCAACCCACGCAAGCCCAAGCCCAGCCCTAAACCCTAAACCCTAAACCCTAAACCCTAAACCCGAATCGTGATCTCCGAGCCCTACATCTCAAGCCCCGACTGTAAGCCCTACTTGGAGGTTCATGGTACTTAGTAGCTCATTATAACTGTCCCTATAACCCACTTATAAGCCCCTTAAGTGTCCTAATATGGTTAAAAAAAACAGTTATCAGTACAGTTATAATTGGTTAATAAGTACCATGAACCTCCAAGTAAGCTCCAAACCCGACTGTAAGCCCTAAGCAATCAGCCCTGAACCCTAAAAACCCTCAGCCCCAATCACAAACCCTGACCTAAACCCTCACCTTAACCCTAACCCTGAACCCTTCACCCTTAAAACCTAAACCCACAACCCACAACCACACCGCAGGGGACGAAAGGCAGGGGGGTCCGTCCTGATCAAAAACACGTAGGGATGGATAGTTTAATGACCTTGATCCTGCTACTTTCAGATATTCATTCTATCCCTAAACCCTGACCCCTAAACCCTAAACCCTAAACCCTAAACCCTGAACCCTACATATCCATACACCCTGAGCTCCCAGGGTTGTTTAAGGTTTAGGGTTTAGGGTTTAGGGTTTAGGGTTTAGGGTTTAGGGTTTAGGGTTTAGGGTTTAGGGTTTAGGGTTTAGGGTTTAGGGTTTAGGTTAGGGTTTAGGGTTTAGGGTTTAGGGTTTAGGGTTTAGGGTTTAGGGTTTAGGGTTTAGGGTTTAGGGTTTAGGGTTTAGGGTTTAGGGTTTAGGGTTTAGGGTTTAGGGTTTAGGGTTTAGGGTTTAGGGTTTAGGGCCAGGGTTTAGGGTTCAGGGTTTAGGGCTTGGGGTTGAGGGTTCTTAACCAGATTGCCTCATCTCCTTACGAAGCGCCACTAGGTCTTTCGCCTCCCGAGCCGCATCTTCATCGGCGGCATCTGCCGATGCGCCTGTGGCGTCGCTGTTGGCCGCATCCTGGAGCAGTTTCGGGTTTCGGGCTGAGGGTTTTGCCCTAAACCCTAAACCCTAAACCCTAAACCCTAAACTTATGGAAAGGGGATTCCGAAGGAGGGAGGATTTCAACCTCACAGAAGCTGAGAGAGCCTTCGCTGAGAGCACTAGGGCATTTGAGGAGACGTGGGTTTAGGGTTTGGGATTTAGGACCCTAAACCCTAAACCCTCAAAAGTTCAGGATTTAGGGTTTAGGGTTTAGGGTTTAGAGTTTCGGGTTTAGGGTTTAGGGTTAGGGCTTGAGGTGTTTAGAGCCCGCCAAGGTCTCCTCCCGCCAGACGGGCCCGATGATCTGAAGGCTTCGGGCTGGGTGTAGCGTTGGGTTTAGGGTTTAGGATATAGGGTTTAGGGTTTAGGGTTTAGGGTTTAGGGTTTAGGGTTTAGGGTTTTTAGGGTTTAGGGTTTAGGTTGTTAGGGAGGGATGTAGGGTTTAGGCATTTGAGGTTTAGGGACTTAGGGGCTTAGGGATTTAGGGCTTAGGGGTTTAGGGATTTAGGGTTTAGGGACGTAGGGATTTAGGGCTTAAGGGTTTAGGGTTTAGGAATTTAGGGTTTAGGTATTTTGAGATATCAAGGGTTAAGGGCTTAGGGGTCGTGTTTGTTTGTTTAGGGTAACCTCGAGAGTCTACCGGTTCTTAGTGGGGGGAATGAGGAATTAGGTACCCAATAGAATTCCTTAAAGGGCATATACAGAAAAATAGCGGGACAGATGGTAGCTAATTCCTAAACCCTAAACCCTAAACCCTAAAACCATACAACTCCGCATCGGTATCGAGCTTGAGGTTCAGACACCCCTAGACCCCCCTAAACCCCCAAGCCCCTACTTGTAGAAACCCCGAAAAACTCTATGCATGTGGGCCCCTACCCCCTAAGCCCCTATACCCCAAAGCCCCAAACCCTACACCCTCAGACCCTTAAAACCCTTAAACCCCGAAACCCTAAACCCTTAAACCCTAAAATCCGTAACCCTTAAACCCTTAAACCCTTATACCCTGAACCCCTTAACCCTTGAACCCGCAAACCCTTAGCCCCTAAAACCCATAAACCCTTAAACCCTGAAACCCTGAAACCCTTAACCCTTAGACCCTTAAACCCCTAAATCCTTACCTGCGGAGACTTCCTGGTTCTTAGTAGGGAATGAGGGAATGAGGGCCCTATATGTACCCCCTCAGGGATTAGATAGGTTTAGGGTTTAGGGTTTAGGGTTTAGGGTTTAGGGTTTAGGGTTTAGGGTTTAGGGTTTAGGGTTTAGGGTTTAGGGTTTAGGGTTTAGGTTTAGGGGTTAGGGTTTAGGGTTTAGGGTTTTGGGTTTAGGGTTTAGGGTTTAGGGTTTAGGGTTTAGGGTTTAGGGTTTAGGGTTTAGGGTTTAGGGTTTAGGGTTTAGGGTTTAGGGTTTAGGGCCAGAAGGCCCTGAAGGCCCTGACGCACCTCCGAGGCGACACTTCCCTCAGACTGGTAGTTGGCCTGGCAAAGGAGGGAACGGAGGGTGGGCCTTAGCTTGAAGTTTAGGGTTTGGGGTTTAGGGTTTAGGGTTTGGGGTTTAGGGTTTGGGGTTTAGGGTTTAGGGTTTAGGGTTTAGGGTGTGGGGTTTGGGGTTTAGGGTTTAGGGTTTAGGGTTTGGGGTTTGGGGTTTTGGGGTTTTGGGGTTTTGGGGTTTTGGGGTTTTGGGGTTTTGGGGTTTTGGGGTTTTGGGTTTAGGGTTTAAGGCTTAGGGGGGTAAATAAGGGGTCCCCATTTAAGGGGTCCATATTAAGGGGACACTACCCTTAGACGCAGTACAAGTCCACAAGGTTTCGGGTTTTGGGCTTTGGGTTTCGTGTTTCGGGCTTCGGGTTTGGGGTCAAAGTTTTGTCGGGTCCTCCCCCCTCCCCCCTAAACCCTAAACCCTAAACCCTAAACCCTAAACCCTAAACCCTAAACCCTAAACCCTAAACCCTAAACCCTAAACCCTAAACCCTAAACCCCCCCCCCCTCCCTCTTATTGCCCACCTCTGCTTCCAATTTGTCTGTCGTTTCTTCTTCGGTTCCACCATCTGACATGGCCTGGCAGAAACAGGGGCTCCCATGGCTTCCGGCCCTAAACCCTAAACCCTAAACCCCAAACCCTAGACCCCAAACCCTCAAAGTTCACGTGCGGCCAAGAACTCAGACAGACACAGCATTCTTCTCGCGCCCCCCCCCCGCCTATCCGCTGCTAGGCACGCGAGCGAGCAGCAAGGGATTCATTCTGTGAAACACATCCCTTGCAGGCCCTTGTGAATCCAAGCCATACTCTGCGGAGGAACGTTTAGGGTTTAGGGTTTAGGGCTTAGGGTTTAGGGTTTAGGGTTTAGGGTTTAGGGTTTGGGGTTTGGGGTTTGGGGTTTGGGGTTTGGGGTTTGGGGTTTGGGGTTTGGGGTTTGGGGTTTGGGGTTTGGGGTTTGGGGTTTGGGGTTTGGGGTTTGGGGTACCATGCTTGCAGCAAGAGGATGAGGAAGGGGAGAAGATGCAAGATTGGGGGGTGAAGAGCGATCATCGCATCAAATTGCATGAAAGCCTGTAGAAACTGAACTTCTGAACTGCAACTCTCTGCATAACAAGGGTTAGAGTCTTTTGATAGGTGTCTCCCTAAACCCTAAACCCTAAACCCTGAACCCTAAACCCTAACCCTAAACCCTAAACCCTAAACACTAAACCCTAAACCCCAATATTGAGTACTCTTTTCAGCAACTCTCTGCAGAGATCCTGGGCTCTTTCCCGACAGTTTTGCTTCGGTCCCCCCAGCCGGAGCTGGCAGGTTTCCGCCAGCTGCGATCCCTAAGCCCTAAACCCTAAACCCTAAACCCTAAACCCTAAACCCTAAACCCTAAACCCTAAACCCGAGCTCCGGGACATGGCAACAGTTCCGTAGGCCTCATTATATCCCTAAGTAGCCTTCATTACGGGGGGGGAACCTAAGTACTATAGAGGGGGATAGTAGGGGAACCCATGGAACCCTAAACCCTAAACCCTAAAAATATTGCAACTGGTGAGAAGTTTCGGAGAGGCCCTGGCATCCTCCTGGCACTGTCGGCGCACGGTCCAGTCATCCGGTGACTTCGCAGGGCCTTCGCAGCTCTTCCTCAGCTCGGAGGGAGCACTCAGTGATCGGCAGTCGCCAGAGCTTGCCACTTCTGCGTCTCAGAGAAGGCGTCGCGGCGCCAGGATCGCGGGATCGCGGGATCGCAGGATCGCGGGGATGCGCCGTCGGCGCTGCACACGGATCCCAAGTGTCGAGCTTAACCCTTGGCCGGGCCCTCGTCATGCAGGCACCTTGGTTTTTTGCTGTTCTTAGAGTTCTTCATAAGATTTAGGGAGTACTTTCCCTATCCCATAGGATTTAGGGAGTACCTTCGCTATCCCATGCCCTCCTGCAAAAGGAAACAAAGAACTTAGGCGCAACGGGGTGGTTTTAGGGTTTAGGGCTTAGGGCTTAGGGCTGCGGGCTTCGGGTTTAGGTCAAGGGTATGGGGCTTCGTTGCGCAGGCACAAGGAAAATGCCAAGGTCTGAGGAGAGGGTTCTGCCCTCTTGACTACGAAACCCCCCCCCAGCTCCCCAGATATAGGGTTGAGGGTTTAGGGTTTAGGGTTTGGGGTTGGGGGGTTTGGGGGTGTGGGGTTTGGGGTGTCGGGTTTTTGGGGTAGCTCACGGTTGCTCTGTGGAGGTATTTTCCTGAAAGGTGGCTTCCTTGGGCAGGAACCCCCTCAATCCATTCTGCCAGGGCTTACATGGAAACGAAAACCGAGTTGCTGATGTCCCTGGGCCAAAACAACTAACCATTCAATCATGGTAGGATTACATATACCCCCAAAAGGTAACAGGTTACCTATCCAGCTACTAAGACAAACTTTGTAGCCCAGCAACCATACTACAATAAGGGCACCCTTTTTTGGGGTTGGTTCCTCTACAAGGGAACCCACAACCCACAAAAAAAACAACAAGTTTTAAAGGTTACCTCCTCAGCTACTCAGAACAAAGTCCAACCTCCAAGGCACAGGGTAGCCCATAAACAAAAAAAGAGAGTAAAAGGGTACCACTGGGCCACTAAGACAAAAAAGTCCAAACTCCAAGGCACAGGAAGACGAGCTTCAGTGGCCGCTCCAGGAGTCTCGGTCGAAGGTGGGCAGGTGTAAGACCCTCCAAGCTCACCGCCTCGAGGGGCAGAAGGTCCAGGTAGGGCTTAAGGGGCGTTAAGGCTTTGGCCCCAGCCTAGGGGTTTAGGGCATTAGGGTTATTAGGGATTAGGGTTGAGGGTTTGGGGTTTGGGGTTCAGTGTTTAGGGTCGAGGGGGTTAAGATCGCGGAGTAGTGTCGCGTTAGCACGGGTCGAATCTGTGACTGAACTTGCGTCTGTGCCTCTGTGTCTCCGTGTCTCGGTGTCTCTGTGTCTCCGTGTCTCTGTGTATCTGTGTCTCCGTGTCTCTGTGTCTCTGTGTCTCTGTGTCTCTGTGTCTCTGTGTCTCTGTGTCTCTGCATCTCTGTGTCTCTGTGTCTCTGTGTCTCTGTGTCTCCGTGTCTGTGTCTTGGTGTCTATCTGTGATGTATGAGTGAGTGAGCGTGTGAGTCAGTGAGTCAGTGAGTCAGTGAGTCGATGGGTCAGTATGTCTGCGAGTGACCGTCCTAAACCCTAAACCCTAAACCCAAAAACCCTAAGTCCTAAACCAGCTCCCCCTACAACCATACTCGCAACCCTACGGCCCTACGACCTCAAGACGACCCCCCCCCCCCATGAGTCCCTAAGAACCCTACAGCAAACACCCCAAAACCCACAAATTCAGGCCTACTTAGTTGCTGAGTTCATAAGCCCCCAAAAAAAGTGTACACTTTAGTTTTGGTAGAGATTATAGTATCCCAAAATGTGTAAAGTGTACTCACGCAGCTACGAAGCCTATAAGGCCCTAAGGACCCTAAACCCTAAACCCTAAACCCTAAACCCTAAACCCCAAACCCTAAACCCTAATTAGGGCCCTGCCTCGGATGAGCTCTGGAGATGCAGCAGGCGATCGCCGACGCATACGCCCTGCTGCAGCCAGAAGCCCCGCAAGTCCTGGCGTGCGCTGGGTGCGAGTTCTGACGCTGTGGGGAGTTTAGAGGGGTTTTGGGTCTTGGGTTTTGGGTTTTGGGTGTTGGGTTTTGGGTGTTGGGTGTTGGGTTTTGGGTTTTGGGTTTTGGGTTTTGGGTTTTGGGTTTTGGGTCTTGGGTTTTGGGTTTTGGGTTTTGGGTTTTGGGTTTTGGGTTTTGGGCTTTGGGTTTTGGATGGGCTTTTGTGGGGGTTTGGCGGGTCTGGTGATTTTGGGGTTTGGGGGCTTTAGGGTTTTGCGGGTTTGGGGGGCTGGGGGTTTCTTTTTGGGTTGCAAGCAGTCCAACCCCTAAACCTGAAACCCTAACCCTAAACCCCAAACCCCAAACCCCTAAACCATAAGCCCCAAACCCTAAACCCTAAACCCCTAAACCCCTAAACCCTAAACCCCTAAACCCTAAACCCCCAACCCTAAACCCGAAACGCGCAGAAGCCCCTCCTCGCGGATGTGGAGCACCTCTGGGAGCCAGCCACAACGAAGACCCAGGCCCAAGGGCCCAAAACTAGGCCCCAAGGAGACCTCCACCTTCCGGGATGGTTTGGGGTTTAGGGTTTAGGGTTTAGGGTTTAGGGTTTAGGGTTTAGGGTTTAGGGTTTAGGGTTTAGGGTTTAGGGTTTAGGGTTTAGGGTTTCGGGTTTAGGGTTTAGGGTTTAGGGTTTAGGGCTTGGGGGGCGTTGGGCCTCCAGGGCCTTTCGGAGTTTTGATGATGTTGAGACGGGCTTCTTGTTTTACGGGCGATTGGAGGAGAGGACTAAAGAACAGCGCAGTCTGAACGAGCCCTTAACCCTAAACCCTAAACTCTAAGAACAGTGCAGTCTAAACGAGCCCTTAACCCTAAAACCTAAACCCTAAAACCTAAACCCTAAACCCGAAACCCTAACCTTCTCTACCTATGTATTTCTAAGCCTTTGGAGCCTTTGTCCTGGGCCCCTCGCCGCAGCGTCCACAAGGACCGCGATACCAAACACATAGTGATGTAAAGGGGCCTTGCGAATCCATGCCAATCGTAAGCCCTTAAACCAAGCCCCGCCCAAAAAAAACATCGAAGCCCTTCACTCAGATCTGCTGGTGACGGTGAGTGAACAAGGTGCATCCTCTTATAGAAGTAAGGAAGCCCCAAACGCTACACCCCAAACCCGCAAACCCCAGACCCTAAACCCTAAACCCCACACCCGGAGCCCCAAACCCTAAACCCCAAACCTAAACCCCAAACCCCAAACCCCAAACCCTCCACCCTACTTCGACCTAGGACCCGCTGCTCTCGGTACCTGGTCTTGGCGTGGCTTCCTCGGAAGCCTTAGTTTGGGGTTTAGGGTTTGGGGTCGAGGGTTTAGGATTTAGGGTTTAGGGTTTAAGGTTTAGGGTTTCAGGTTTAGGGTTTAAGGTCAGGGTTTCGGGTTTGGCCTGGAGTCTCAAGATTCTCAATCTAGGACTCGGCGCCAAGAAAATGTGCCAAATCTGGACCCTGCGTCTGTAAGATGACCATCGAACCCTAAACCCTAAACCCTAAACCCTAAACCCTAAACCCTAGACCCTAAACTACACCCCAAACCCTTAACCCTTATCTTGGAGGCCCCTAGACCCTTCATTTCACAAGGAAGGGAGGCCGTGCCAGGGCTTCAGGAACCCTTAAGGGAAGAAGCGGCTTAGGGTTGAGGGTTTAGGGTTTAGGGTTTAGGGTTCAGGGTTCAGGGTTCAGGGTTCAGGGTTCAGGGTTCAGGGTTCAGGGTTCGGGGTTCAGGGTTCAGGGTTCAAAAGGGAATGCGGGCCATTAGATCACCCCTCCCTTACACTCTCTCTCGACAGCGCTGAGCAAGTCAAAGGTCTGACTACTCGTCCGCAGCCCTTTCAGCTGGGGTTAGCGTAAAACCTCTATGTGACGCCATTCCCTACGACTTTGTGCAATGGGGTGCAGGTTTCGCCAAAGATCCGTATTGCCGAAGAGTGGTGAGTGTGCTTGCGCGATATCCGACGCGGTAAGGTGCTGGTAAAGGGGGTCATTAATGTGATACGGTTTAGGGACGGGATTTGGAGATTGTCTAGCTTGGTAACGTTGGTACGCTTGTGTCATGGTGATTTCTGGCCAATGTAATCTAGGGTGCCCTACTCTGCGTCTATGTAATCTGCGATAGGCATGGGCTGATTGGAAAACGGTCTGGTGTTCTATGGTGTCGGCATGTCGCAATATGTGTCCGAGATAAGAAATTCTAGCGGAGATGATACGCTGCGAGGGGGAAAGAATAGCTGGGGCGTGTTCATAAAGGAGGCCGGCAATGTATTCGTTGGAACATTGCTGGTCTGAAGGTGATAAGATTTTATGGTAGTACGACGATTTGAGGTTAAAAATCTGTCGTAATACTTGGTAGTGGAGCTTATTGAGCTTAGTGAGGTTAGCCTGGGAGTACATCTGTGACTCCGAGCCGTAAAGAAGAATGGCAAGCACTAGTTGGTTATGGACCAATAGTTTTCTATTAACAGAGATTGACGGGTGACGGAAGAAGTCCTTCAAGGACTTGGCCGCCTGCGATGCCTGGGCATATCGCTTGTTGGTATCCTTTGTGGCAGAAGCGTTAGTGGTTAGAACCGCACCGAGATAGTCGGCGTGATCAGTTGGCTCGATTTTTAAGGAAGGGTCCGGTTTAGGATAACGAGCCTCAACACAAAAATCGCAAGTACATGGGAGTTGGTAGTGTTTGATTAGATAAATCGGAAGTGTGGTGTTGATGGTAAGCAAATGGCATTTTTCAATATTTAAGGACATGCCTCTTCTGAAAGCGAGGGACTGTAAGGTATGTAGTAGTCGGTGAAGCGCCTGTTGAGTACGCGAGAGTAGGACAGTGTCATCTGCATATTCTACGTCGCAAAGGGGGGAGTCAGACTGAAGTACCGTAGGGAGAGGGCCAAAAGCACTTTTGTAAGTATCATACGTGTCCTGGAAAAGCACCGATAAGGTGATGATGAATAAATAAGGCGAAAGTGGGCAGCCTTGTCGTATACCTCTGGAAAATTGTTTGCGGGAGGATCGGGCGTTCGAATCTTTTACTGCAAATTGGCAACCTTGGTATATTGAGAGAATTGCTGCCGTAAATGCCGGGTGAACGCCGATTCTTAGCAAGGCATTTTCTATCGCGACATGGGTGACGGAATCGAAGGCCTGCGCCCAGTCAAGAAAAAGGGCGTAAAAAGTTTCTTGGTGACGTTCGTGAAGTTCTATGAGTCGTCTGATAATGAACAATGGGGTTGAAGTGGATCTGCCTGATCTAAAACCGAATTGAACTGTGGAGATGCGGTCGTCAATTGCCGCTTTTAAACGATAATGAATCATGGAAGCGTAGATTTTATAGACGGTGTTGATCAACGAGATGGGACGATAACTTTCAGGAAGAGTGGGATCTTTCTTTTTGCCCTTGAAAATCATTATTACGTCGGCGATCTTCCAGCTGTCAGGAGAAGCAGCTTCCTTGAAGGCTTTGTTGAAGTGCGCGAGTAATGCTATATGTACTGATCGTGGGGCAAATTTCCAGAGCTCAGCTGGGACACCGTCAGGCCCTGCGGCTTTGCGGTGTTTCAAGCGCGACAATGCGCGCTGAAGGTCTTGGTCATCGAAAGGAGAAAGGTCAAGAAGGGCCGGGGGAAATAGTAAGGTACTAGGAAGGGGAGGAGTAGGGATGTGGTTCCATACGTTAGTGGATAGATGATTCGCAAAAACCTGCGGTTTTTCTGTGGAGGTGGACATACGGCCATTGGGCTTACGTACGCCTTTTGTTTTGGGATTGTATGACTTGCGCAAGAAACGCAGAGTGGACCACTGTTTGGAGGGTGGACCGGTTGAATCTTGTAGTAGGTTGTCACAGGTGTGTTGTCGTCTTTCCTTTCTGGCTCGACGCTTAATAATTTTTCGCAGCCTTTTTAGTGTTTCATGCTCCGAAGGGGGGGTTGAGTGAACAATGTCTATGAGACGTTTGGTCTTGTTAGAGAGATAGGAACGCTTGTACTGCGTTGGTAGAGTTGGGGGGGGCGCGGCGGCAATTGCCGCACGTTGTAAGGCTCCTGCCTGCTCGGCTAAAGTGAGGTCCAGGAAAGCGGCAGGAGCCGGCGCTGTGGCGTTTTCCACTACTAGTGGTCGAACGGGCGGGGCGTGTCTGCCCCTTTGTGCATCAGTAGAAACTCCTCTTTTAGCAAGGGAGTCAGCACGGTCATTGCCTTGTTGACCGGAGTGGCCCTTTATTTTCAAAATTGATATGGGCATATGGGGGAGTAAGAGATCGAGAGTTTTATGAATGAGTGATAGTAGATACGTATGTTCTGTGGTGGTGGATAAACCATGTATGAGGTCAAGAGCGAATTGGGAATCTGTGAAAATGTTGAGTGACGAGATGGAGTGAGAAGTTCGGTGCCGAAGAACATAATCCAATGCTTCGAGAATTGCTTGTAGTTCACCTGAGTTGTTGGAACCGACGGGTGCTTGGGGAAGGTTGAGGCCTACTGGCCCATACGAGTCCAGATGGGCGCGTGCGTCCTGAAAAGTGAACGCCCAACCTGCCGGGTTTCCTACAGCTACGTGGTATTGGTCTGGGCAAGAGCCATCTGTATACACGTCCGTGGCTCCCGGGATCTGATCGTGTTGGAGCATGGACTGCGTTCCTAATATGGGGGCGAGCGCCCTCAAGAAACTCGCGCGAAACTCGCGCTTGTCCTCTGTCGTGGCTGGGGGCTGAATTTTTGGGGCGGGAGGGTCTGCAGGCTTGGCAAATGCATCGAAAGTGATTTTAACATAAAGTGGGTAGTGTCGATGGAACCAGGGAAGATTCCATTTAACTTGCGAAGAAATGGCAGGTAGATTGTGTAAATGGTGTCTGTGAGTCAGGATATGGTCTATGCATGAGAAATTAAGCGGGGTTGGTGTGAGTGGATCAGCGGAGGGTTCAGAGGCTATTTCGCGGTAAGTAATTCGTTTAGAGGCTGGGCGAGTATGGAATGAAGACGCGAGTAAAAATTCATTGTTGGCAAGGAATTCCGTAAGCATCTCGAAGTTGGACTGAAAAGCAGAGTCTGGGGAGCCTGGCGATGGAAAGGTCACTGGTCCAATGAAGTCCTGGGGGTCAAGAAGATCACACTCGTGAACACGGGCATTAAAATCGCCCAGGTATATTATGAGCGCAGGCTTAGGAAGGAGATCGTGGAGGTCCTGTAAGGAGGACCAAAAAGCCTCCTTGCGAGCAGCGTCTTGGGCAACGTCAGAGAGTTGACTTGGCGCGTAAACCGACACTAGGTGGGTCTGGAGAGGTTGAGTTCTTAGAGTGAGGACTGCCAAACGGCCTGAGTAGGGGAGAAAATCAGAGATGAGTGGGACACTGGTGGGAGCGACGTAAAAGCCGACCCCGGCCATGTGCTCTTGCGGGGTTCCAGAAAGCAGAAGGCGGCCACCCTTGGGCCTTAGCTCATCCGAGGATTGCGACTTTGTTTCTTGGAGCGCTATTATATCAACGGAATGGTGCCTAGCGAACATAGCTAACGATTCGTGCTTGGCATGTCCTATGAGGGTTTCTATGTTGAAGGTGATGACATGTAGCTGGTTTTTCTCTGGTCTGAGCGGGAGTGTCCGCTGGGGAAGGTCGAGGCAAGAGCGCTGAACATATCTCTTGAACAGATCGGCTCTGGAGCCCGAGGTGGGAGAGAGGGAATTGCGCGGAAAGGCGCGTTGAATTTGCAAAGGGCTATTCGTTACCCTTTTCAGGGGGAGCCGGGGGTGGACTAGGGTAAATTTTCCATCCCCCAGCACGTCTTGGATCCATTTACGGTAGTCGCGTCTAGATTGCGCGCGGTTAAGCTGATATTGAGATTGCCGGCGAAGCATAGCGTTAGTGGAACGTAGCTGTTGGTGTGTTCTTCCCCCTGACGCACAGCGAGATTCGTGGCCACTAGCCTGAGTTATCTGTTGTCTGTTGTACGCGCCGTGGAGCGCGAAGAGGTTGCGCAAACAATTCTTGGGCTGACCGTGGCCCCCCGGCGTGCCGCTGGCGGCTCTCGCAGCACAGAGATGCGTGTATAGATTGCGGGCTTTTGTGCCATAAAGTACCTGGTATTGGCGACGTCCTCTTCTACAAAACCACAGCGACAAATGTGCCTGACAATAAACGAATTTATGGATCATCATCCCGTTTTTGAGAGTAATAGGCCAGGAATGAAAATATGATGGCATATACTCAAACGACCTGTCTATGAGTGAGCAATTACAAATCCCACACCAAGTATTGCCGTTTACGGCGTGCTGGAGTCGATTCCTTTGTTTTCTCGAAAGGGCGAAAGCGTGCCCTGCTTTGGACGTGTAGAGAGCGAGCCCCTCCGGAAAATGGTTCTGGGTGTTTCGGCAAACTAGTAGGGTATCGCAACCTGCTTTGGAAAGGGCTCGCGGGAAGAGGCGCAGGCATTGCTGGCCTGCTCTGCAAACTTTCCCTGGCTGGCCATGAAGGACAAAAGGAGGGAACCAAAAGCTAGCTCGGAGCACAAAGAACCTAGCAAACCCGAAAGAGGGGCAGGGGCAAAACGTCAAGGGATTTGGGGCGTTATTGAGTTCAAGAGCAATCTTTGTAATGTGCGGGGATATTGTTCTGTTAAAGGCAATCTGGCCCCCGAAGGGGATAATGGCAATCCGACCCCCGAAGGGGATATTGGCAATCATGCCCCCAAAGGGGGTACTGGCAATCAGGCCCCCGAAGGGCGTAGTGGCAATCTTGTTCCCCGTAGGGATAGTGTCAATCCGACCTCCGCAAGGGATACTGTCAATCAACGAAGCTCCCAAAGAGGGGAGGCAGACAAGAGAAAGAAGCCTAGAAAAAACTCGTTCGTAGTGGAACCACTTAACTCTAAACAAGGACGTCAAGATCAAATGGCCTTCGGAAAAAGAGTCACTAGAGCGCTGCACCATAAGCTTCAAGCAGGGCTGCGGGATTAGTGTCATACTTTGTGCTCGGGATGTTAGGGGTCAACACACAGCGACCTGTGCAACCCAATCATACTTGGAGTTTCTGTGCTGGTGTTGAAATACGGTCCATGCCGTTTTCCACGCTAACCAATGCGCACCCCCTTCGGCGAGCGCGAGCATTAAGGTTTCCATTATGTTACCTTTATTGGTGTGGGCTCGGGATTTGACATACTGAATGTCGTTCTGGGAAAGCTGAAGGAGGGGGAGGATGTACTCCAAGAGCAGGACGAGTTGGTCATTGGGGGCTTGGAGTTGGGACTTAGTACTATCCTTGAGAACGCCGTATATTGCCGCAACCTGCCAGAAAACTCCATCAAAGAACAGGGAACCGAACCCTGCCGAAGTGGCAACTCCTGCGTTGTTGAAAGGGGGCTGACCCAAAACACAGGCCTTCAAGGTCTGATCATAGTCCAGAAACCAGACGAACTCTTCAGCCAGAGTCTGGAACAAATCCGTGGTCGTTCTGGCCCACGCGCTATCCAGGAACCACACTAGCAGGTCGCGGGACCACTGCAGCGGTGGAGGGTTGGGCTGTTCATTGCAAGCCTGGTCATATGCTAAGTGGAAGGAAGAGGCCAAGAGCCTGTCCCAGGGAATGAGCTGACAATGCGCTACGTCAAAGTCTAGGGCCCAGGAAGGCAAGCGGTACTTCTTGGTGAGCCGGGGCCCGTGGGACTTCCATACGTGCTTAAAGTACTGGTTAAACCATGATGCAAGGTGAAAAGTTGCTAGAAGGATGTCGTCTGCAAGGGGGCCATACATGTTATAGATGCGATCTTCCATGTCCCATGTGGGGTTGACCCAGGCGGGCTTAGTCGGGCGCGGGAGGGGGATTAGGTGTCCGAGGTCCCCTTCATACATTACGACGACCCAGTGCGCTGCATACTGACTCGGTGAAAATTGTTCTCGCCAAACACCCTCAATTTTGGACTTCATGGCTTGAAGGAGTTGAGTGGTTTCAGGGGTGGCTTCCTGTATGGTGTCGAGCTCATAGAGAAGACGATCCATCATCAAAAGTTCGGCCTTTCTTGGGGTGGGGTCGGAGGACCAGTTGTCTCTAACTTGTTGGGAGGACCAGTACTTGCGATGTTCTCTACAAAACTCACATGCTGGGGAATGTCCTAAGGGTTGGGCGCAAATAACGCCGGCTTCATTGAGGCAGGGGCAGATCAAGGTTCTTAGTGGGGCTGTGTCTTTCCACTGAAAGCCCGGGGGAACTGGGTGCCTACCGCATTCCTGGCAATCAATATTGAACCCAAGAGCGCATGAACATGTGGAGCAAATGACTACCTGCTGGAGCTGGGAATATCCTTTTTTGCCTTCTTGGCAGGAGTTCTTCGTCTGTTGTTTGGCTCCCTTGTTAGCGGTGGAGCGGGCATCTCCATACAATGGCTGGGACTGGGGCGCAAAGCGGTTATACGGGCCTGAGCCCCAACGATCTCCATTGTTGTCGGTATCATTGTTGGGGTCCTTCCAATTTGTGCGATGATCATGGTCTCTTTCTTTCCAATCGCCTTTTGCTTGGGATTTACCGTGTCCCTTCTTGGACCCTTTAGCTGGGTAGCTGGAATACGAATACGAGGTGGAATAGTTCTGGGTGAAACGGCCCCACGCGGTTTGGGTCTGCTTGCCCTTACCGGAGGGTCGGGACTTAGGGGAACCCTTTGTGAAATCCTCTGCCACACCATGGTCCTGGAAAGCTTGGGCTGTGAGGGCCGTAAGGCCACCTGCTCCCTGAAACGGCAACATGGGGTGAGACTCTAAGAGGCTCGCAAGCTCAGAGGAAATTCGGACTGGCATGACGGGGTACGTGAAAGCCTGGAGGCTAGCGAGGGTTGTGAGGTCGAAGGCCTTGTCAAAGGAAGCGCGGTGCGTGGTGGTGCGGTCAATGGTGGCCCTGCGGAGGGCCTGTATCAGCTGTACCGTGTCGTGGAGTCGCTTTGTGAATTTGGAATGCCACTTGACCAGAAACTCGTCATAGTACTTCTCGTGAACCAGCAAAAGACACGTATAACGGCGAGGGTAACGGGGATCCAACACGTAGGCGACCTGGGCCAGAAGCTGCTTGGGCTCTTCGTCTCTTGGAGTCCAAATCTGGAGGGTCTGCCACCAGGTCTGCAGGTCCGGGGTGTCTGTGCACTCAGCGAGGAGGTCGATTAAGGCGTAAAACGGCTGCATGGCCAGTCTGTCGTCGGTGGGCAAGTCCTGCTCGATTCTGATTTTGCAGTCTGGGATGTCTGGCGACTTCCAATATCTGCGTGTTTGCCGCATGTAGTCTCGAAACTGCTGAGCCTGCATCTCTGTGACAAACTCTACTCGGGCCACCGAGGAGTGCGAAGTAACCATATGGTTGTGGAGGGCCGCGATGTCTGTCCATTGTAGACCAGCTCCGTTGACATAGTGGTACAAGTTGCTGTCCAACGTTTTCTTGTTAAAAAGGGCCGGGAGGTCCAGGAGGAGAACTGTCTTGTTGGCTCGGGCACGTTCCAGTACTTGCAGTTGGGCTGAGTGTCTTTCAGTGGTAATCTGCTGCATGGAAAACTCGGCTTGGACCTGGTTGTAAAAGAGATCACAGCATTGGTAAAGCTTGTCCATGTTCGGCAGCATTGACTGCTTGTGGTACTTCATCATTGCCTGCTGCAAGGAGGTATTGTCAGTGACCTCAGGGAGGGGAACGTCCTGCTCATTGCCCGGGCTGAATATTCTCTTCTTCGTAGCAGCCTGCTTGAAATCTCCAGTGGTCGGGTCGTACTTCTCTGTGGCGTTGTGGATGGCAAGAAAATCCGTGCGCGCTGTGGCGCTTGACTTCAACTTGTCTTGTAGAGTGGGGTCGAGGTCGGCGAAGTTGATATCTAAATCAGTAAGCTTGTCGATGAAAGTGCGTATTTCCTCATCTTCCTGTAATCGCGCCTTCTTCTGAGGCGAGAGTTCGGGCGCCTTCTTGGCTGCCGACTGTTGGGCTTGCCATTGACGAAACTGTTCAAGGTCTTCTGAACTCAGAGCCGGAAGGCTCGGCGTAGGCGTGGGTTCTGTGTCGTTCAACGCGTCGGGCTCGGACTTTGCTGCGGTATCCATGGCTCAAGAGCTCGGAGAATCTGTTCTTAAAGAACAAGGAAAAGGACGAAGATGTTCAAAACATCTGGAAAGCTTCGACAAGAGGACCTATGATCGAAAAAAAAGCGAGAGACTAGAGAACGTCAATGGGCATAACCCAGATGAAGGTCAGGCACGAGATTTCGGACTATGTCCGCTCTGTGCTCTCTGTGCTCGTGCCAAACGCCTGATTTGTCGCCACAATGGCTCAAACTTCATGTGCGTTTGGGATGTTGCGAAGAAGAGCCCTCATCTGAACTTATCTGTAGACGGGATGGGAGCGTTGACGGGCCTGACCACGTCTCCTTTCCGCAGAGGAGCGGGGACGTGGACAGGCATCGACGTGTCTTCGTCCTGCCGCGTTGCCGTATTTGCGATGCTAATGCGCAGCAGAAGCGATCGTCTAGGCGTGGGTGAGCGCTCTGCTACTGCGCAGCGGAAGCCGATCTCTGAGCAGTTTGGTCTTTCTGTGTGCAGTTAGGGTTTAGGGTTCAGGGTTCAGGGTTCAGGGTTCAGGGTTCAGGGTTCAGGGTTCAGGGTTCGGGGTTCAGGGTTCAGGGTTCAAAAGGGAATGCGGGCCATTAGATCACCCCTCCCTTACACGCCGCCCTAAATCCTTATGGGCATCTCCCACAACCAGGGTACCACTAAGATACCTCGAAACCAGAACCCTAAACCCTCAACCCAATCCTTGCTGTAGGAACCTTCTTGGAAAGGTACTCTGACTTTCAAACAAACTTTTGCAATTCTTACAGGGTTTTCGCGGGACGGTGGTTGCTTGAAGCTCCTCTTGGGTACACACACACACACACACACACAGAAACCTAGAAGGCTTAGGGCTTTGGGGTTCAGGGTTTCGGGTTTAGGGTTTAGGGTTTCGGGTGTAGGGTTGAGGGGTCTGAGGTGCAGTTAAGGATCAAGTCTGCCTGGCGAGCGTGCAGGCGGCCCTCTGCATCCCGGCACGCCACCTCAAACCGCGCCACAGGACGTGTCAGCGTTCCCCGCGTTCCCTGAGCCCTGAACCCTTAGTCAAGCCCCGAAACACTAAACCCTGCCTGGAGGTTCGCAAGTCGTCAACAGAAGTTGAGTAGTCAGCAACTACAGCTATAGGCTACAGCCTATCTTGAAGAGGACCTGACACATCTTGAAAGCTTGAGGGCTCAGGAGGTTTAGAGCTTAAGGGCTGAGGGGTTCCAGTAGGCTTCAAGGCTTGGCTTGTTTGAATGGTTTTGGGCCCAGGCTGTCGGGTTTGCGGGTCCAGGGGACCCTGGGCCCTCCATCGAACGGGAACCGGCGGGCATCCATAGGTCACATCTTGTCTTTCGTTGTCATGATGACTTTTTCGTTGTTCGCCGGTAATATTCCCCCTGGGCCCAGGACCCAAAATAGGGTTTAGGTTTAGGGTTTCGGGTTCAGGGTTTCGGGTTTAGGGTTTAGGGTTAAGGGTTAAGGGTTAAGGGTTTAGGGTTTAGGGTGTAGGGTGTAGGGTTTAGGGTTTAGGGTTTAGGGTTTAGGGTTTAGGGTTTAGGGTTTAGGGTTTAGGGTTTATCCTTTTCAAAAGATTCTGACGCCAGTCAGACCACGAAGCTCACAGTCGCTCCCGGCACACAGGTGTCGAAGTCCGACTTCTTGAAGAAGAGGTCCTAGCCCAGGGGACCCCCTCCCTAGCCCTAAAACCTAAACCCTAAACCCTAAGCCCAAAGCCCTAAACCCTAAACCCTAAACCCTAAACCCCTAAACCCTAAACGAGGTTCGGGCTTGAGGTGCGAGGGCAAGGGTGCATAGTGACTATTCAGCCTCAAACCCCTATGCTCTGAACGGGTCGTGGGGGTGTAGGGGTCTCAGGGTTTAGGGCTCAAAGTTTAGGGTTTAGGGTCTTTGGGGTCTTAGGGTTCAGGCTTCAGGGTCTTACAAGGGTCTAGGGCTTAGGGTTGAATCATCCAGTTTAGGGTTTAGGCCTGGCCGGGTCCTTCCCAAGTGAGGTCCGCAAGAAGTCGCTGGCCACAAAGCCATATCCCTTGTCGGGATAAAACTCCTTCAGGGTTTAGGGTTTAGGGTTTAGGGTTTAGGGTTTAGGGTTTAGGGTTTAGGGTTTAGGGTTTAGGGTTTAGGGTTTAGGGTTTAGGGTGTAGGGTTTAGGGTGTTGGGTGTTTAGGCTTTAGGGCTTATAAGTGTGTTATAAGTACAGTTATAATGAGTTACTAAGTACCATGACCTCCAAGTAGCGCTTCTGCAGTTGAGGGCTTAAGGTTTAGAGCTTCGGGCCCAAGAACCGACGGCAGAAATGGTGTTGCGTTTGGGATTCTGGGCTTAACGGCTTCGATTCCCCTCGTAGGGTAGTTCCTACATTGGGGCTTCAGGTACATAAAACGAGGCTTCTTGAAAAACATGGAAAAAGTGTATTGCTATGAATGCAAACAAAAAGTATTCAGGTCTACACACCCCCTGTGTAAGCGCCCGTCCTTGATGACGCCCCTGGCCAGGCTGTGAGAGGTCAAGGCTGCTTTTTGTGAACCCTAACACTCTACATCCTACATCCTAAGTCCCAAGGCTTGAAAGAGGTTTGGTGAGTTTTCGGGCCCCTCCGTGCGCGTCGCCGCGCTGGAGGGGGCGTGGGAGCAGGGCCTGAAGGGCCTGGAGGGTGTTGTGGGATGATTTAGTGTTCCGGGGTTCGGGGGGTTAGGGTTTCAGGGGTTCAAGGGTTTAAGCAAGGTTTGAAAAAGCAATCAACTAGGTGAGCTCACAAAGCTCACATCCTCTGAGTTCCTCCATCCAGCCTGCAGCCCTAAGCCCAACATCCAGCCTGCAGCCCTAAGCCCACTCGAAAACCTAAACCCTGTGCCCTAAACCCTTAGCCAACCCTAAACCCCAAATTTGGAAGGGCCGTTTCCAAGACTGGCTCAGGGTGCACGTCGGGCCCTAAAGCCTGTGGACTGCCAAGGTTTAGGGTCCAGGGGTTGGGGTTTCGGATTCATGGTGTCGGGTAACCTCCAACCCCCCCCCCCCGCCCCCGCCCCCTCGAAAAAGTGGCCCCAGACCCCACACCCAGTCCTCCCCAAGCCCAAACACCTCCCTCCATGCGCGAGCCGAGTGGCGTGTGCTCGCGCTGGAGTCGCTGGAGGAGCCCCTCCTCGACGGGAGGGCTGGCAGCCTACGGACATGGAGGCTGCAACTGAGGAGCTTGCGGGGGGAGGGGCAGGGGCTGGGGGTTACCCTGGGCCCCCAGGGTGTTTGGGATTTCAAGGCTTGGTCTTCTTCAGCGTCTAGCCCTGTCAAGTAGGGGTTTGAGGCTTAGGGTTTCAAGTTCAGGGTTCAGGGTTTAGGGTTTAGTGTTTAGGGTTTGGGTTTCAGGGTTTAAGGGGATGGGTTCCTTCCCTAAACCCTGAGCCCTTCTCAATGGTGTCACCAAACTTTTTTCAACCAAAGCCCGTGAGCCCTCAACCTCTCATAGCCCAAGCCCTGCCATCAACCCTCATACCTAGGCCCTAGACTCCTAGACCCCTGTCAGGGTTTAGGCAGTAGGGCCGACGTTGAACGCCCGAACACCCCTCAACCCCCCAACCTCAGAACCCCTAAACTCTAAACCCTAAACCCGAAACCCTTAACCCTAAGCCCGAAACCCGAAACCCTAAACCCGAAACCCTAAACCCTAAACCCACTCCTCGTCCTGACGCTCTGCCCTGGGCCGCCCCAGGTGGTCCCAAATGAGGCGAAAGCCCAAGGTGTCCCCCAGCTGACAGTCGGGGAAGTCCCTGGAGGAGCTGGGTATGGGGCTTGGGGTTTAGGGTTGAGGGTTGAGGGTTGAGGGTCTAGGGTTTAGGGTTTAGGGTTGGGGTTGAGGGTTGAGGGTTGAGGGTTGAGGGTTGAGGGTTGAGGGTTGAGGGTTGAGGGTTGAGGGTTGAGGGTTGAGGGTTGAGGGTTGAGGGTTGAGGGTTGAGGGTTGAGGGTTGAGGGTTGAGGGTTGAGGGTTGAGGTTTGAGGGTTGAGGGTTGAGGGTTGAGGGTTGAGGGTTGAGGGTTGAGGGTTGAGGGTTGAGGGTTGAGGGTTGAGGGTTGAGGGTTGAGGGTTGAGGGTTGAGGGTTGAGGGGTGAGGGTTGAGGGTTGAGGGTTGAGGGTTGAGGGTTGAGGGTTGAGGGTTGAGGGTTGAGGGTTGAGGGTTGAGGGTTGAGGGTTGAGGGTTGAGGGTTTCAAAGGGCTTTGGAGAGGTTTCGAGGTTTAGGGTTTACAGGTTTAGGGTTTCGGGCTTAGGGTCCAGGATCTAGGGTTTAGGCTCAAAGAAGTAGGAGTTCGGGTTTTCAGCCAGATGGCTTAGCATCATGCAAAGTATGCACGCAGGAGTTGAGGAGGCGTCGGCCCCCGAAACCCCGAACTAAAATTGGGGTGTCAGGATTTCGGGTTGCCGGGTTTGGGGTTTAGGGTTTAGCTCAGCTGACCTGGCCACCTACTCGGAGGTTCATGGGTGCTTATAACCCCAATTCTAAGTCTACTTATAGCCTACTTAGAGGACTTAGGGGGCTTGTAAGTACGGTTACTGTTAATTGGGGCTCTAAGTACCCTAAGCCCTAAGCCCTCAACCTTAAACCTTAAACCTTAAACCCTAAACCCTAAACCCTAAACGCTAAACCCTAAACCCTAAACCTTTACCGCCCCGGCCTGATCCGAAAGTAGACGTCCTTGCCGCAGAGCTGCTGAACTCCCGGGCAGCGAAGGAAGCCCGTGCCGGCTCCCTCATTCCTGGGGGGGGGAGGGTACTGCTAGGGTTTTAGGGTTTAGGGTTGAGGGTTTAGGGTTTAGGGCTTAGGGCTTAGGGCTTAGGGTTAAGGGCTTAGGGGTTAGGGGTTAGGGTTTAGGGTTTAGGGTTTAGGGACCTGGAACTGTAGGGGTTTAGGACTTGAGGGGTTAAGGTTGGGATGTTCCCCCTTATACTAACCGTCCTGAAAGGGGCCTATAACAGGGGGGGGTACGAAAATCCCCGTAAGGCCGTTTAGTATAAGGGGGAACATTCCAGTCTGTTAGGATTTGGGGCGACATGATGTCCGCGCGACTTGCCGGCTCAGTGTTCCATGCACCCCCACAACCAACTCTGCAAATGCCGGTCTGAGCATCTCAACAAGGGAGTGGAAGGCCGTTTGGTCCAAAAGCAGCACCCCAAGCCCGACCTGTGAACCCTTAAACCCTGAAGACCTCAACCCAAAACCATCCCAAGACCCCTACGCCCCGAAACAGCAACTTGCTCGACCAAAAACCCTAAGCCCCCCACTCACCCTCCCCCCCCCCCGCCACCACCGCCAAAAAAGACAAAACAACAAAAAAGCTGTCGAGCCTTCGACCGTTGACCACTCCACCCTGAACCTCTGAACACCCAAACCCCGAAACCCCTGCTGTAGGTCCCTACACCCCTAAACCCTAGTCTCTCTTCGACTTCACACCTGGCCTCTCGCAAACAGTGCCAGACATAGAGCCCTCCTCCTTTTCAGTCCCACACGAAGAGAGGGATCTACAGAGGCCCAACAGGGTGGGGCGGCGGGGGGGGGGGGGGGGCAAGATTTTGCAACGAGCCGCCAAGATTAGAAGCTCGGAAAGATGAGGAGCTGCACTTGTCAGGGTTTAGGGCTTCAGGCTGAAGGTTGAGGCACTTTCTCTACTACCCCCACCCGAACTACCCCCATACGTCCACACGGGAGGTCCAAAGCTGTGACTAGCCGCTCCCTGCAACAAGGAAGTGCAGGGTAGATTGCATAGATGTGGGCTCAAATTTCTTTGGGACCTAGCTCACACATCCTCAGAATGCTATCTATGGTGTGTCATCCGCAAACAAAAGGTTTTCGTTTCAAGAACCACCAAGTCTCCAAAAACAAGTTGTTTTTCCCTAAAGGAAAGGACTGATTCATGAGTCAGCATAGAAGCATCTTCTTTCCTCTGGGAGAAATGGCTCCTCACAGAATGATGGAAAGCCATCTTCTCTCGATGAAAACAGAAACATCGTTTTGACCTCACAGTTTGGGGAGAATGTGTTATTTCGCTTCTTTGTTTCTCAAGAGAAGATGATTTGTTGATCTTCGTCTCGAGCGACATACCGAGGTGGAGCGAGCACGCACACACACACACACATACATACATACATACATACATACATACATACATACATACATACATACATACATACATACATACATACATACATACATACATACATACATACATACATACATACATACATACATACATACATACATACATACATACATACACACACATACATACATGTGTGTACATATACATATACATATACATATACATATACATATACATATACATATACATATACATATACATATACATATACATATACATATACATATACATATACATATACATATACATATACATATACATATACATATACATATACATACATACATACATACATACATACATACATACATACATACATACATGTGGGCAAAATTCCTTACCCTGCGTTGTTGCCCTCTAACAACCCTAATACCTCCACCCCTAATAACCCTAATACCTCCACCCCCTAAACCCTCTAGCATGCCTAAACTCCTGCAAAGCCGCTATTCCCGAAACCCGACATCCCCAATCCTAACAAGCCACAGAACTAAACCCCAAAACTGCGTTCCTGTTGCAGTCGCAAGCAGACATCGGTGAGCCAAAAACCTAAATACGCTAAAAAGCGTAGGCTTCGTTCCTTCAGAGAGCAGCGCATACACCACAAGCTCCGCAGCCCTAAAGCCCTACTAAACTGAACCCTAAACCCTAAACCCTAAACCCTGAACCCTGAACCCTAAACCCTAAACCCTAAACCCTAAACCCTAAACCCTAAACCCTAAACCCTAAACCCTAAACCCTAAACCCTGCGGCCCGTCTCTCCTCAAGATTGGGCGACGCCGTGCCGGAGGCCAGGCCGCGGATCTGAAGGGTTGTTTTGACAGGTTTAGGGTTTTAGGGTTTCGGGCTTAGGGTTTGGGGTTTGGGGTTTAGGGTTTAGGGTTTAGGGTTTACGGTTCAGGGTTCAGGGTTTGGGGTTTAGGGTTTTAGGGTTACTAACAGTCCTGCATAAGGATTGTTGCAGGGGAAACTATAATCCCTATTAAGGACTGCTAGCATAAGGAGGGAACATCCCAATGCAAACCCATGCGACCGGGGTAAAGGCTTGGCCTCTACAGGTTCTCTACTTGGAACAAATGTGTGACGTATTGAAACCGGGAGACCCTAATCCCTACACCCCTAACCCCTAAACCCCTAACCCTAAACCCTCAACCCCTACACCCTAAACCCTAAACCCTAAACCCTAAATCCTAAACCCTAAACCCTAAACCCTAAACCCCTCCTAAACCCTGAACCATGCCGGAGACTTAGCATGGCACTGACACCTTGCAACGAGCGGCGCCTCGGCACACCTTGCCTCTGCTCTTTCCGTCCCACCTCTTTCCCTAGGTTAAGGGTTTAGGGTTTAGGGTTTAGGGTTTAGGGTTGAGGGATGGCCGTTGAAACCCTCCGAAAAATATTCCTAAATATGATCCTCTTAAACCTCATAGGGAAAGTAAAAAATGTCCCAAGGGCCCCTACCTAGTTCCCATACGTACTCTAACCTTAGGCCTAAACCCTAGAACCCCCCGACCCAAAATCTGGAATCAGTATGCGGCAAAGCAACCATCGAATACTTAAAGTCGAACCTTTTCCCAGCCACTGTAGGGTTTGGGGTTTGGGGTTTGGGGTTTAGGGTTTAGGGTTTAGGGTTTAGAGTTTAGGGTTTAGGGTCTAGGGTTTAGGGTTTAGGGTTTTTTGGCCTGTTCCTTAGCTAAGGAGGATGTATTGGGGCTCCTCTTATCACCTAAGGTGTACCCTAAGCCCTAAACCCTAAACCCTAAACCCTAAACCCTAAACCCTAAATCCCTGGCCCTAGTCCTGTATTCCCTTCATTAAGGGATAAGTGGGCTCTCTGGGTGCAGATGCCTCGACGGCTACCGGCGCGCCGTCAGCACTGAGCCTGCACCGAACACAGCTTTGCTCAGGGGGTTCGGGGCATCCGCATGAGCGTTGCTTCCAGATTTGAGGTTTAGGGTTTAGGGTTTTGGGTTTAGGGTTTAGGGTTTAGGGTTTTGGGTTTAGGGTTCAGGGTTTAGGGTTTAGGGGGTCAGGAGTTAGGGCTCAGGGCACCGTTTGGGGCGAAACCCTGGGAATGTGAATCTCAAACCCTGGCCTGCCAAAACTTGCAACTTGCCTGTAGATGAGCATGCAGGGATTTCCGAAAACTAAACCGCAACATAGTAGACCCTATAAATCACCAGTAGAAGGCCCCAAGAAGGACCTCTAGTTGTTCTCATACAGAGACTGCAACAACAGGTTTTACGGTTTAGTGTTTACGCTCTCCTGCGACAACTGGCCGTGCCAAAAGTATGATAGCTAGCTGCGTGAGTGCTTCCGCCTGACGTGGAAACTGACGAAGTCGCCCAGTGTACCTGCGAGGTGAAGTTTCATTCGGGATCCTAGAGCTGACTAGTGCTAGCAGCACCAGGTAAGCATACAGGTAGGGCTAACACAGGATTAATGATGAAAGCGCATGATGCGACTTCTTGCAGTGAAGCAGTTCATACAATACAACACAACACAACACAACACAACACAACACAACACCGTACAGTACCGTACAGTACCGTACAGTACAGTACAGTACGGTACGGTACAGTACAGTACAGTACAAAATACATGCAGATATGCACATATATGAGCAAATCCGAATAAAGATATCATGAAGCCCTAGAATCTGGAGGAATCTTGTTCAGGCCGCCTTAAGGAAACGACTGTCGAAGCTTGCCCTGAGCACCTGGGCACTCGCAAGACCTCTGGAAGCAAAAGATCTCAAACTGTAAGCGGCTTCTTCAACCCACAATCTACACAAAAAATGCATAGCACCACGGTATATAATACATCATATGCAAGATGATAAGCACCCTACAGCTAGCATAGGCCCAATACAGTCATGGTCATAGTCGCTTAACAGAAACTAGTTGGGGACCTAGCATGACTAATTTTTTACCCACACCTCCTCCAGGAAAGCATGCCTTTTAAACCCTAGACCCTAGACCCTAAACCCTAAACCCGGAACCCTAAACCCTAAACCCTAAACCCTATCCCTGAACCCTGAACCCTGAACCCTAACCTAAAGAGGACATCAAAGCAGGATGTCAAGCTGCATTCTCCGAGCTCCTTCATCGGGGGTTTCGGGTTTCGATCTTGGGTTAGGGCGCGGGGCGCCGAATGAGAGAGTGAGAGAGTGAGAGAGTGAGAGAGTGAGAGAGTGAGAGAGTGAGAGAGTGAGAGAGTGAGAGAGTGAGAGAGTGAGAGAGTGAGAGAGTGAGAGAGTGAGAGAGTGAGAGACTTTTGACTTTGCATTCGCAGAACCGTCCCCTGGTCCCATGCGCGGCATTGGCGACACGCCGAACTTTCGAAAAAATCCAGCGCGGCTAACAGGAGCTGTGTATCCACATCGCCGTAAACTAAGACTCGTAACTCAAGTGCATGAGCCCGAGCGGTGCTAGTAACTACGTTTCTGTACGGGCCTAGCTCTGAGCAGAGGCCAAATCAGATCATGAATCCGGCATCACTCGCAGCACAGATTAGAGACTGTCAGTAAGTTGAAAGCACAATACGTAACAGTTTTCACTCAAAGACCGGGAGTATGTAGGATGACATACTGTAGCCGGTTTCCCATCATCCGTACACCACCATGTGTAAGGCGGGCTCCCCGTGGGGGCCGACGGTCTCCCCGAGGGGGCCGAAATTCCCCGGTCACCAACGGAAGCAGCTGAAGCTGAGGAAGTCAGCAGCTCCTGAGCAGCATCCGCGCATTCAGGAGGGTGCGCTAAAAAGGAGCGGTAGTGACCCTGCTCGGGTCGCGGCCCCTGGTGTAGTATCCCTGCAATGAGAGTGTAAGCAGTCCACTCAACATCATGCTTTGAGCCTTTGAATACCGGGAAGCTCACCTGCTGTAGTGCCTGGCATGGAATCTTGATCCGGTTTTTGCCTCTTGTTGCACTGGCGTACCGGGCAAGACACACAAGCAAAAAGCGGGGTTTGTTGAGGAGTCCATGAGGAATCTTCTGTTTGTGCCAATTAGTGATGCAGGTCCGCAGCGTAGAATTTGCGAGCCTAGGGAGAGGCAGGTCCACACAGAAGAGGCCCTGTATCAGCGGTCGGCGAGCAGCGACGGTGCCGGGAAGTGGACGGGCCTCCCAACGACACTCCAAGTAGGACAATGGATGTCTTGCAAGCAAATGGTGGATGAGCTCCATACAGTCTTACTGCTGATGCAGCTGGGGCCAGTCCGCTAGCAGGGTCCCCCAGTGGGCCAGTTGAGGCAAAACAAGGCTTCGAGGGCCACAAAAAGGGTGGTGTGGTTTCCACAACACCCCTAATGCTTGTTCCAGCGAGGTGGCACGAGGGGGCCAATTCTGGACTGTTGAGCATGTATGTAAGCCAGCAGATAAACCGCAGCATGCAAGTAGCAGAGATTGTCAGGGTTACGCAGAACGAGCGACGACAATGGCAAAGGAATGCACAGACTACTGGGGGCCAGACCATTTACCATCCCACTGCCTCCTGAATCTCCTTGATCAACGGCGACTTCTCGGGGCGGGCTGGCTTCAATCGAAGGGACAACAGGAGCAAGGCGGAGCTGGCGAACCACTTGCGGAAGATCGCCATTGCCTCCGCTGCCCCCGGGGCCTGCGTCGAGAGCTCCAGCACGAAGGTGGCCGTTTCCGAGGTGGAGCCCGGCCTGGCATTCCGTGCCGCTGCAAACTTCAGGACCAGCTCGGGCGCTTTGAGCAGGGCCTTGAGGCGCCTGGCCTCCGCCAGCACTTGGTCTTGAGTAAGCGTCCCCTCTTGACGAGGGACGAGCCTCTGCTCCTCCGCATTCCAATCGAGGAAGTTGTATTCCATGTCGCTGGTGATCCAGCCCATTTCCTGCGCCTTGGCCTGAGCGGCCTTGTCTCCGCCGAAGGTGGTCACCCTCGTGACAATCTCCGCGGCCACATACTGAAGGAGAGTCTGCTTGAGGGATTTGGTGACCGCCCCCTTGCTCCTCTGCTCCCTCCAGTTCGCCGCCACCTCGTGCAGTAGCGGCACCATCAACTGTGGGCCGTTGCCGTTCTTGAACGTGAAGAGGACGGTGTGGTCGCTCTGGAGGCGCGCCAGATAGTCCGACTGCACCACTATAGCTTTGGCAACTCGATGGAGAAGGGCATGGTCGTCAAAAGAAGTCTGTGAGGAGCCTGGGCGGTGGTCGCGATGTCCCCGTCCGTCTTGATGGCCCTTCGTGCGGCTGCCCTGTGCAGGGGCCGACTGATGCCCTCCCCTGCCCATTGGCGGCGGCTGGTGGCGCTGCATGCGCCCCTGCTGCGGCCCTTTGCCTCCTGGGTGAGCAAACTTCGCCTCTCTGTCCGGGGCCTCGCCGTCCAGCTGCAGAAGACGTCTCTTCCCCAGAACCTCTCCGAAGATCGTCTTTTCTTCGCTGTCTAACTCCGTCTGGAAGTCGTCCATCATTGCTGGCAGGGAGCACACAATCCGCTGCCGGTATGGAGCAAGGTGTTCCAAGTGATGGCTGGGTACGGGACGAGGCTACGCTGACCAAGCTTTATATGCGGGCTTGCCACAACACCGGGCAGGTAGAGGAGTGCTGATCCGTACGTGTGACAGAAGCACCGCAGAACGGACACGGCGAAATGATATGACCTACCCTTTTGCAATCCGCCGCCGCTGCGCTGCCGTGCGCTTCATAAACCTCCGGTTGGACATGCCTGTAGTGTAGCTTAATGCTCCGCACCGAGACCAGCCACTGTCCGCACAATGCACAGAACTGCCGAAGAACTGCCTGAGTGTCGGACCTCCGGGCGAACTTGATCCAGTCCTGGGGAGGGAAGGCAGGCTGATTAGCAAGTATTGCCAAAGGCTCAGAGATGGTGCCAGACAGAGCCCCCGGGGAACTGGTAGCTTCAGGTCTGGGGGGTCAAGGCAGGGAGTAGACTCCTTGTTCGGTTCCGTGATCAGGGGTGGGGGCGCGTCTGCGGACGGTTCCTGATCTTGACTGGCGCCAAGAGCCGTTGTGGATTCACTGTGCTGTCGCCATTGTGCCGTACAGTGTCCCTTTTGGATATGTCGCTTGAGGTTGAACCATGTAACATAATCCTTAGAGCAGTGTCGACAAACCGGCATCCCCTCCTTACTATGGCCTCGGACAGCAGCGGCATTGACCTCAATTTGCGGATTGACCAGCGCCACTTCATGATACTTTTGATGGTGCTTTTTGAGAGTGGCAAGATCCGGAAACCATAGATTACAAGTAGGACACGAAAGTTGCACAAATCTGGGGCCATGTGTTCCCGCAACTTGCTGAGTAAACGGCACCCCTTGGAGGGGGCCGGGCAGCGCAGCTACACGGAGAGTTTCTTCAACCGCTTGAGTGTGTTCTAGTCCGCTGGAGCAGGTGATCTCGTAGTTCGGAGGGGGAACATGGTCCAGGTGCGAAGTGAGGGCTAACTTGGACTCCGTGCAGTGGACTAACCAAGAAAGAATACGAGGCCTTGCCACCATGGGATCGCGGGAGTCCCTCGCCTTGGCAAGAGCCCGTTGACCGCAGCGCGTCAGGAACATAAGCGGGTCTTCGACCCCTAGTCGCTCAAGCAAGGCACGACTGGGCTCTTTTGTCATGTGAGCAAAACTGCGTGCAATAGCGCGCAGGTGTTTCACCAAGACAACAGTGATGCGCTCAATGTGCTTCTGTTGTAAAGCAACGAGGCGCAGACCATACAGTGCCGAACTACGCACACATGCGATCCACAGCTGCACTCGCTTAGCCAGCGGTAAACTAAGTGAGTGGAGAATTTTGAGCAGGCGCGCTCGCTGAGCCTCAGCTACCTGGAGTCTGTGTTCAACTGTGGCAGTGGTAGCGTCCTTGTCGGACAATACAATCCCAAGATACGTAAGTTGGTCTACGATTGGCAACTTCAAGGCCTTGCCTTGAGATTGGGGGATGAGCAGGTAGCGGCCCTCCGAAGTGGAGGCCGTGTGCGCACGCCACCACTGCTGCGCGCGGCGACCTTTGTGAGCAACGATGAGCTGAGTCTTGCGGTGCTGGACTTGGAGACCGAGCTGAGCCAGGATATGAAAACAGTCTGCAATGTTGTTCACCATCCGGTTGAGAGTAGGGACATCTGAGAATTCCCACTGCAGAAGTAAGTCGTCCGCGAACATAGTCGCGTCATTTTGGATCCAGTCCAAGGACGAAGCGTTTGCCACGGCGCGAAGCAGGGCAATGGTGACCAGGGTCCAGAGACTGGGTGCCAAAGGGCATCCTTGACGAACGCCCCGTTCACTAGCCACCCGCGTGTCCGGCCGCTGGCCTGCAGGCCAATACCCTATGCACTTATGAAGATGAAGAATTACTTCCAGTTCCGGCTCCGAGATGTGGGCCGCGTGCAGCTCCTGTTCAAGGACGCAACGATCAACTGTATCGAAGGCCTTGCTCGTGTCTATGGACAGCGTGACGCCACCAATGCAGTCCGTGGGTTTGCGACCGGTGGCCCGGCGTTCTTTCAATGTGATCCTGTGTGAGGCAACGGTGCTCTGCACATGAGCACAATGACGTAACGCGCGAGCAATCGCATGCTGCGTCCTGGCGTGTATGCGTATTGGGGCCACAGCTGCAATGCAGCAGTAAACTCCGGACGCAGTCTAGTAGTCAAGGCTTTAACCACGATCCTGCCCCCTCCCTCAGTGAGCGATATGGGCCGAAGGTTTTCTGGTTGGTCGGGCGCCTTGCCAGGCTTGGGCAACCACGCTATCCAGGCATCCGCCCACAGGGGATGGAACTCATCTGGGCGCAGCCACAAAGCAGTGCAGAGCTCGGCGAGATGAGGGAGGACAATCGCCTGGCCGAGATGCCACAGCAGCATTTGAGCTAGGTGTTGCGGAGTGGCCTTGCGAGCAGGGAGCGAATGCAGAGCAAGCTGAAGTTCCGTCTCCCCGAGGGGGACGCCAGGCATGTCGGTCGAAGTAGGGAAAGGGCCGGGGTTTTCGAGTCCCTAAAGTCTGCAGGTGGAGGTGCATCCGGGACCGGGGCGTGATAAATGCTTTCGCAATAGGCCTTGAAGCGCTGGGTCTCTTCCTCAGCGGTAAGGAGTTCCCCTTTGGCGCCTCTGAGTTGCACCCTCACCTTCGCAGTTTTCGGGGCCAAGCGACGAATTACCTGCCATATGGCAGATTTGTCCCCCTGTCTGTCAGCTTCCCAAGCCTGTTGGAGTTGGTCCTCCAGGAGTTCCTTTTTTGCTCGTTTTCCTTGGCGTCGCAGGTGGCGATGCTGCCGGAGATAGTCGGCCTGATGTCGCCACGCGGTAAACAGATGAGCAAGGGAGAACCACAGGCGCTCTCCCGTGTAGCACCAGTGCCGTATTTGAGCAACAATGGTGAACGGACGAAGGACCTCAATCGCATACTGCTGAGCAGTGTGCCGCAGGTTCCACATCTGTTTGACGGTGCCTGTCACTCTTTCTGCTACACTAGCGTGCTTCAACGGGGGTTTGATTGGTACAAGGTGCGTTGCAGCCTGTTGTAGCGCAGTGTCTAACCCCTCCGGTGTAACCGGAGCCGACAAGTGTTGGCTCAAGCTTTGTTGGAAGGCAGCAACACATGCCTGTGGCTGTGCAAGCTGGTAGCGTGGGGTCCGAGTCTGGCAGGAGTCCGTCTGCTTGCTGGTCGTTTGATAGTGGATGGCAGGCATTGAGGCTCCGACCGGGTAATGCCTAGCGCCATCCCGCCAACAGAGAAGATGAAAGGCGTGGTCTGGCCTAGCCCGGCGCGCAAGTCCATCAATCTGCGCTTCTCTGCCAAAGAAGAAATCAATATGGCTGCGGGCCTGATCGTGCTCATAGGTGAAGGCGGTGGAGAGACGGATCCAGGTGTTGAGGGCCGTGAGGCGATGGGTGCCTACAAGATTTGCTAAGAGGTGGCGATCAGGGTGGGGGTGCTTGCCGATAAAAGCCCCGGGTCCAAAGGCCCGGGCATCCCTGGTGGCCGTGGTGTTGAAATCCCCACCCATTAGGAGAGTGTTGCGAATAGGGAGAGAGGATAACAGCTTATCCAAGTGATAAATGACGCGCTCTCTCTTGTGCAGGACGGCAGCCTTATCAGGGCCGGTATGAAAAGCATACTGGTACACATTAATGAGATCAACATGTCTATGGGCCACAGGCAGTTTGACTTGCAGAACGTGTCCATTAAGCGGAGAGGACCAGCGAATAGACTCGAAGGAGGCAAGTGTTTTGCGAACCAGTATCATGCAACCCTGAAAGCGGTGATCAGTGGCGCCACTATGGAAAACATGATACCGTGGCAAGCTCCATGAACTAGCAAAACGCCAATGCGTCTCCTGAAGAAAAACAATGTCGTAGGTAACCTGTTCATGCAACCATATCTGCACCTCTAACCATGCATCCTGCGATAAACCACCCACATTCCAGGTAACAGCACTGAGGCGCGGGCCCTTGTGTCGATCACAGGCCCGAGCACGGCTCCGCGGCGCGGGCCGTAATGGTGAGCCGGAGTTGACCCCTCTTAGAGCCTGCAGCGTACACCGGCGACCCTTGTACATGGTGGTGTGATCTGAGTTCCTTGCCGCACGCCCGATAGCTCTACGAAGAGCCCGCTTTCGGACACCAGTCACCAGCTCTGCAACCAGTGGCGCGGAGGAACTCGGGGCAGTACCTTCCATCTCCGTTCGCGGCGGGGGGAGGGATGGAACGGAGTTCCGTTCCGCTGAGCGTAAGGAGATGGGCGAGCCTCCTCCAACCTGACATGTGAGGCATACACAGACAACCAAGAGCCAGTTGCAAAGTCGAATGGTCTGAATAGTCCTGCTGGATCGCCCCCGCCTCTCTGCCGATGTGTTCGCTGACCGCAGAGCTTGCCAAAGACCTGAGGGGAGCCAGCAAATGAACAGCAGCTGCTAAGAAAGGCAGGGAGGCACAAGATGAATGCAATGCAGGACAAACCGATTGCAGGCAGAGTCATGTAATCGCGCGCAGGCTTCTGGTCTGGCTCCGGCTCATTTCGGAGCGCCAGTGGCGGGAGTGGTGCTCGCAAATCCACTGTTGGGAAGTACAAAGGAAAACATAGCTGCGCAGAAAGGGTCTTTGCAGAACGGCTCCCCGGGGGGGGGCCGATACGACCTTCCAGGGAGCTGGCGCGAATGCGGGAGGAGGATAAAGAAGAGCTCGTCTCGGGGACATTCGCGGGTTGCATGCCTAGCGCAAGGGGTTTTGCTCCAGTTGCATTGGAGTCCCCGATCCATGCTCGCAGGATGTTGATGAAGGTTTCCCAGGTGAGTTGCCAACTCTCCCCCAAGGCACTGTAAACGTGGTGTGGGACGCCTTGAACCACGCGATGAAGGAGCAGGTAAAACCCCGACAAAGCTTCGAGGAGTGTTCGATGCTGCCGTTCCCAAAGCGACAAAGCGAACCCTTCGATGAGGTCTCCTGCTGTTTGATAATTTGCAATACGCGAAAACAAATCTGTGCCAGCAGGGGTGGTGCTACCTCCAAGCAAGCACATCCCAAGAGCCAGGATCCAATTGCCCACTGGAGGCAGTGGGAGCGGCTCCCCGGAGGGGCCGTGGATGCCTTCACGTTGAAGTTGGTCCCTCAAGTTATGGAACTGCGAGTGAGTGCCGCTATAATGTCCAGCGCTTTGGAACAGAGACATGTGAACATCGGAGGGCTTGCCTCTATTTTTGCATTTGTCTCTGCTGCTTTAGTCCCCTACCCTAATGTCCCCCCACGCCACCTGACCCAGGTCCTCATCGTTGCCGTGGTGATTAGGTAGACGGGCTCCCCGAAAGGGCTTTGGCCCTGGCCTTGTGCTCCCGCTGCTTGGCCTCTCGTTTCTCAGCCTTCGCCTGTAGCTCGCCCTGCGTGCGGCGGCGGGTGCCGTCTGGGCGAAAACGAGCTCTCGGCCCGACACGCCGTTTCATCGCCAGGCACAGGGACACTAGGTGGTTCGTTGGGGGAGTAGGCTGAGGGTCGAGGTTAGGCTTGGTACAAAAAGGATGGACTGGAGGAAGGTCAGTGAGCACAGTGATCACAATGGCGCGAGGCTCAATAGGAGAACCGGATTGCTCTCTGGGACTCCAAAAGAGATATTTCACACCACAACGCCTAGCCAGCGGTGAGCTGAGCACAAAGAAGATATCATAGGCAGTGTCATGCAGCCAGCAACAGTGCAGAGTGAACGCTTGCAAAGCAACATGAGGCTCAGAGGTGCAGCGGCACCCACACAGCTGCAGAGAGATAAGCTTCCGACCGTGACATTGGCGCATCGTCCTCGATGAGGCAGTGTTCCCGCAAAAGGGGGGAGGTACCTGACAGCGTGCTGAGATCAGAGCCAACCTTAATGCAGCAGGTCCACATCCCGAAGAGCATCCTGCAAGGACCAGGCCGTGGGCTCCTGCAGTGCCCAGGGTGCCAGGACACGGCGACAAGCAACGGCTCCGAGTAGGGGCCGACAGAAAGCCCAGTGCATGCGGTAGGGCTGAGCCAGACCTGGCGGGGACCCAAACAGCAGTGTACTAGAGAGTGTAGATGCAGCTTGGAACGCGGCACCACCTAGGCCAGGCACTCTCAGAGACAAAAGCCCTACAGCAAACACGCTCTGTTGGAGTAGCCCAGCATACAGCCTATCTCAGTGGATATCCACCTCAATGATGCGGGCGTGTGTTGTCGGGAACGGCTCCCCTGGAGGGGGCCGAAGCAGGGCCCTGTAGACAGCTGCAGAGAAAAATGCGCAGCAGACAGCAAACTTAAGCAATTGGTCAGACCAAACCGCAGCAGTGGGGCCATGAAAAGACACGGGCAGGTGACGTCGTCCAAGATGATAGGGACGACCTGAGTGGATACATCGGTGCAACGAGTACAGCAGGTTGAGGCTGCAAAGATGCGCGGTATAACGTAGAATTGCCTACCTCGTAGCTTCGCACCATTGTGGGATAGCTGAAGGAGAGCTGAGGTAGCTGCTCCCGCCGGACCTGAGGCAGGGTATCCGGCAACCCTCGCACCCCTCACCTGGCAGGGGGTTTGCAAAGAGGGCACACAAAAGTGAGGCCCGGACTTGGGACCGGGCACGGCCCAGATCGGCTGCGTTCCTGAGAACCACCGTGCATATGCGTCGCAGTTGCCGTCGTGAGCAGCGCGCTCACGGCCAAGAAGATGCCCAAGTAGGCGACGCGGGCTCCCAGAGGCGGGGCCGTAGACAGGCGCAACCAAGAAATCAGTCCATGGAGTGCAGGTCAACCACCCGAAGTTCCCTGGGTTCTGAGGGGTCTGGCACAGCTCCTTCGGAGGGGCCGAACACTGCATCGTGCTTACGCTGTGCACTGGTCTCTGCCAGGGCCACCAAGCAATCGTACCTTCTGAGGGGAAGTGATCTCCTGCGTGGTTTCTTCTTGGGGCCCAAACGGGATAGCACCAGGCACTCTGCTGGAGTATCTGAGGTGTAGTCCATATCACAGTGCTCGTCTGCTTTGCTGCTAGGGTCCTGCGATACGGTCTCCCCTGAGGGGCCGGCTGCAAGGGAAGGGTCAGGCCCCAGCCACCCCCTGATTTTGTTGTGAACCCTGGTGTTTCCATTGTGGCAGGAGACCTGGGCAGGCACCTCACAAGGTGCAGAAGACTGCTCACCATGCACATCGCCAGCAGCAGCAAACGCCATGTCATACGGCACCCGTTGGTATGTACAAGCTCTGCTAGTAGAGCCGATCTGAGCCGGGGTGCTTAGAGAGTGAGAGAGTGAGAGAGTGAGAGAGTGAGAGAGTGAGAGAGTGAGAGAGTGAGAGAGTGAGAGAGTGAGAGAGTGAGAGAGTGAGAGAGTGAGAGAGTGAGAGAGTGAGAGAGTGAGAGAGTGAGAGAGTGAGAGAGTGAGAGAGTGAGAGAGAGAGAGAGTGAGAGAGAGAGAGAGAGAGAGAGAGAGAGAGAGAGAGAGAGAGAGAGAGAGAGAGAGAGAGAGAGAGAGAGAGAGAGAGTGAGAGAGAGAGAGAGTGAGAGAGTGAGAGAGTGAGAGAGTGAGAGAGTGAGAGAGTGAGAGAGTGAGAGAGTGAGAGAGTGAGAGAGTGAGAGAGTGAGAGAGTGCGAGAGTGCGAGAGTGCGAGAGTGCGAGAGTGCGAGAGTGCGAGAGTGAGAGGTGGAGCTAAAGTGAAGGGTCTAGTCTAGACAGGCTGGAGGTAAAGTAGAGCTTGCTTGGACTTGGACTAGACACAGAGCCAGAGACAGAGAGAGAGAGAGAGAGAGAGAGAGAGAGAGAGAGAGAGAGAGAGAGAGAGAGAGAGAGAGAGAGAGAGAGAGAGAGAGAGTGGCTGAGTAAATGAGTGAACGTAAAAGTCTAACTGCAAGTGCGACTGCGAGTGTGAGTGCACTTGTGCAGGCACGAGTGCCGGAGTGTCGAGTCTGTCCGAGCGTGCAAGGGTGTGAGTAGGTGAGTGAGTGAATGAGTGAGTGAGTGTGTGTGTGTGGGTGGGTGGGTGGGTGCGTGCGTGCGTGTGTGTGTGTGTGCGTGTGTGTGGGTGGGTGGGTGGGTGCGTGCGTGCGTGCGTGCGTGGGTGTGTGTGTGTGTGTGTGTGTGTGTGTGTGTGTGTGTTCTGTCTGCTGTCTGTCTGTCTGTCTGTCTGTCTGTCTGTCAGTCCGTCGGTCTGTCTGTCTGTCTGTCTGTCTGTTTTTATCTGTGTGCTCGAGCATGTTCGCGGGTGCACTGCTCTCTGCTTCAAGGCACACCATTTAACATGAATCTTTCAAGGTACGAATGGACTACAACTTTGCAAAGAAAAGGCCGTCGGAGAGAGTGCATCACAGCAAGATTGAGCCTAGAAGCACACCTCCCAAAACACGCGCTTTCTTCTACAGACATGTACTGGGGCCACCCGGCCTGAAAAGGCACAACTCGACCAAACTGACCCCAAACCAAAAACCCTAAACCCTAAACCCAAAACTCCTTGTGGTTGTTGTCAGGACTGGAACTGCGGCTCCTCGTGCGGCGCCATCGCGTCGTGGCCACATAAACGGCGGACAGCCGCATTTCGAACCACAAAGTGTGGCCTGGGTTTAGGACTAGGGTTTAGGGTTTAGGGTTGAGGGTTTAGGGCTTAGGGTTTAGATGGGTTTAGGGCTTCGGGTTTCGGGTTTCGGGTTTCGGGTTTAGGGTTTAGGGTTTAGGGTTTAGGGTTTAGGGTTTAGGGTTTAGGGTTTAGGGTTTAGGGTTTAGGGCGTGCCAAACAGAAGCGCGCTTTGTGTGTGGTGGGCACCACGAGGCACAAGCACAAAACGTAGAGGGGAGGAGAGGATGCCACAATTCAAGCAGCCTCCCGGCATTGCTGAATGGGCTGGTAAAGGTTGGAAGTGCGCAGTGGAGTGGAGAACCTATGTGAGGTGGGATCTTGATTACGGGCATCCCTCAAAGGAGAGCCAATGTAAATACACCCGCTGATTGTTTAACAAGGAACCCCACGCGCACCAACACCATCATACAAACCCAGCAGGAAAAAGGGGGTGATCTAAACTATGGACCCTTCTTGGCACCATAAACTAGAACGGCGCTGTAATGGAGAGACCGTAATTTAGATCCAGATCAATCCCCATGTCCGTGCCCAGCCCCTAACCCTAAACCCCAAACAGTTGGCTTCAGGGTCCATGTAAGCAGTCTCATTCGCACCAGACGGGCATTAAATCCCAA